GGCTCTAGATCCGGATCTGATCAGAAGCCAGATCCTTCTTTCTTTTCTGTGCTGCTTTTCGGAAGAGTCAGCATGGATGGAGACCTCTCCTCTCCTCGGAGATTAGGCTTGCCAAAAAATAGGAAAATCTATTTATCAGACCCCTGTGAATCTTTCCGGCTGTCAGTCAACAAGGTCGTCTAGAGTTGTCGAGATCGTGCACTGTTTGAAGAAAGGTATCGCAGCTTTACTTAAGCTCGTGATGTGGATAAACAGGTGGACGAAGCGAAGTGAGCTGACGTGGCCTTCTTGGCTCGGCAGGCTTGTTGATTGCAGTGTCAATCACCTTCTTTACAATCTTTGCCGGCGTTTTCAACTCTGGAACGAATTCCAGAGCGTGCAGTAAATCTGCAAAGATGCCCACTTATTGGAAGCGAGTCAGATGGATTGAAACTTTTTCAAGAGGTAACTCTTCGCGTCCACCAGGAAAAGATATGCGGAGATTTTCGGAGCCCTTCTGATCCAAAAGGACGACGCCTTCTTCATGCAAAGCTCTGATTCGTTCGAGTGCAGTGCTGGCAGTGTCGTGCTCACGGTTTGCAAGCGCCTAAGTATCATGGGTATGCAAAATAATATGGCGGAAGAATCCATCAGAAATCTCCTTATTGTGTTTTTTGATGTGTTGGAAGAGGTCAAACTCCGAAAGCTTGATCTTCTTGGCTCGAAGAGCTTGTCGTGAAAATGGCAATGAGGCCGCCTGGGAGTTCTCTCAAATGAGATCGGTAGGCAAGCTGGGTACCGAGGCCACTCATATGTTTCTGTCACCTGTCTCCCCGAGCAAAGTGGTCTGTCCTAGTACGTGACATAGGCGTCGACAGCAGCTTGGCAGAAGTTACTAGCTTTTATCGGATTGTTCGAAGTCGTTCGCAATTTGTTAGTCAGGAAACAGATGCAGTCGCAAGTTGGCCATGAATGCAAGTGTATGAGGTCTTAACCTCAGCGACGAGACGCTTGAAATGTAAGGAGCCATTGAGCGTCTGCACAGGCTATCGTACTCTGCGCGTTTCGGTTTAATTTGCGCTGTGTCTCAAATGATTAGAATGCTTAACGGTAAGGAGTTTGAAAGACAAAATGGGCTGGGGCCTGACACGCTTCCCATACACTCGTTGCTTGTTCGTTTGCGTCTCGAAGTTAACCGTGAGCTTCAGATATTTTGCTCGCTTCAGCGTCTGATTCGTTAGCCCTACGACTATGCGACCTCGGCTGTATTTAGAAAGACCCAGATCCTGAAGGAGGTCAATCAGGAGCTCTTACCTACGTTAATTTTGAAGGCTTGTCAAAATCAAGCCAGTAAAAATCTGGCTTTGAGACATGGGCTCCGGGAAACGGTGACTGGATAATCTCTCGAGCCGGATCCCAGTCGGTTCTTATGCATTCGACCGAAGGCTTTTCTAGAGGCGTGATTCTATGATACTGCCTCTTATTCTTTGTTGATATCGAAAGTGATCATTGGGGCTCGACGCTAGTGTTGACGGGCGATGATGGGGCCCTTGTTCCGAGGATCCATGATTCCCCAGACGTGTGTAAGTTGGGGTCCACTCTTTGAGGCCGCAGACTAACTTTTGTCTCAGCGGTAACCCTGAAACTTAGTCCTCGACAGCGATCAGGAGGATGATGCAACTCGGATTGACATCTGACGCTCTCGTGCAGCTACGGGAGCCAGAGTAGGGTGGTAAGCGGTGTATTTTATCTCATGATTCGCAAGCCAATCAAGCTGGGCACGTGGCTGACCAGCGGCTGCGCCTGCGCGGCCGCGTCTCCCTTCGCGGCCGCGCGCCATTCCACGCAGCCGGCCGCGCTCCCTCGCGGACGCGCGTTGACCGCAAACGCGCGAAGCTCGTTTGGGCGCGCGCCCTTGCGACTCTTCATTGGGCTCCTGTGCGGAACTTGCCCACCTCAGGTTGCGCCGGACCAGCACCGCCTTTCCGGGCTGGCGGCAACAGACCGGAAAGGCGGAGTCTTTGTGGGCCGGAACCAGGGCGCCGGGATCTTCCTTGCGGAATATTATTGAACTGATGGGCTCGGTGATTCAATTCTGTCATCTTCGCTTTCGGCCCTCGGTTGTCTGGCGAGTCGTGTAAGCGACGTTTCGTGCTTGTACGTAGGTCACTAAGTGTCCTCGCGCCCCACTAGCTGTATATGCCGTGTAAATTTCTCTGACCATGATGGAGATACCGCAGTAAGGACCCTGAGTCTTGAAGTAGAAAGCCCCATAAAAGCCGCCCGCGCGGATATCTGGAGGGCAGTATTTAATTGACGCAGACGCCAGACTTTTCCTCATGGTGCTCCAAGCCGAGTTCTTGGAGGCCAATTCAGTTCCTCACAATTCGATGCATCAGGACTAATGATATTCTCCGTTCTTCCAATGGAAAGAGTAGCATCAAAGCTCTAAGCCGCGTGCAGTACTTGCCTGAGTTCAAGTGGTCGAGGGTAAATGTCGAAGTTTGCGGCAACGGGCTGCAGCTACTTTTCCTACCGTCTCAAGGTACATTCAACAAGCTCATAATATCCTTTTCTTCAGGTTACCTTCTGGGCCGAAGGAGAGAGGAAGCGGAAAAAGATCAAAGGACGCCGACCCTTTGGGGAATTGCACTGATTCGCAATAGGTGGCATCGGAAAGGCTGCACTTGTGGCGAGTCTCTGATGGCGTTGAAGCTCGCTCGGGTTGACTAAGCGATGAATTATGCCAGATCTCAGGAGCAAAATTAAGCATCGTTTTGAGATCACCACAGATTGGAAAGAGTTAGGCGCTGACATAGCCAAGTTTGCAATTGATAAGGTTCAAGTTTGTCAGTGGCAATAATCTGAAGAGATCATGTAGGAGAACAGACCCCGCTTTTACACAAGACCGTAATCTCATCAGTAAACGCAGAGTAAGGAGATGCGCAGCCAGATCCTGTGCAGTAACTCTAGACTTTCGAGTGAAGTCGGCGATCGCTTGGAGGCACTGCCCGGCCGCATGGAAAAGTCCTTGAGTTGAGGTGCTCGTCGATGGGCTATTATACTGTGCTTCAATCTTGTTGTATGCATACATGGCGGCCAGGCCACTCTTGGCCATCCAATCCTTGACCTGATCATGAACCTATTTATCTCGTAACAGCATCGAAGCCAGAAAAGCAGTGGAAATGTTTGGGTCCGAGCAGCCGCGCGCAATTTATATAACATCAGCCAGACTACCATGATTCGGGGAAGCGTACAACTGACCATGGCCAGCTGGAGGGTTATGCGTACTGGAACGTATGATTGCGGCACTACTCTACCGAACGCCTGTCATCCGACGGCCACTATAAGTCTCCAATTAACCATCCTGCACCAAGCTCGACTGATGGCTTGAGACGCATTAAATTGCATTCCAAGGATCACTCCTTCGAACTGCAATCGGATCTATTCAAGAAGTCGGATCATAATTAATGACGCATGGATGGAAACAATATGTATGCATGCCATGCTAGGAAGCGGCCATCATGGCACGTCATGGTGGCCCATGACGGAACGTATACGGTATGTCGATATATGGCTAGCTCAGGCTAACCGCGCCGCGCTACATGTACACAGCTAGCCTTATATATTCGTGCAGATGTATTAACAAATGAATCTTGAATACATACCCATATCAAGCTCCATACACATCCCAGGGCGCTCAGTCGCATCGACAAGACTAACTGTTGCGCTCCTACTTGTCGAAGCGGGGGCCGGCCTGCCGGGCATCGACAATCAACTACCGTCACATGTGCAACGGCGGCTTGATGCGGTGGACTCGCGTGCAAAACGGATCGAGAAGATGCGCATGGTGGGAAAATGTTGGATTCGTTGGCTGAGCTCAGCAGCAGGCTTCACCGTGACAGTGGCACCATGTGTGACATATATATACGTTCGTGCCAAAAGCCCGGTGCTCAGCTAGCCTAGCAGGTGATTGAACGGATTGAGTTCCATGAAGACTACCACCCATGAACGTGGCAGTGCGGGCCCGGCTTCGCGATAACACCGTCAGTCAGGACAACACAATGCCTGGCAGGATTCAACCGGGGCGCCAAGCCGATATGGAACTACGAAGTTGGTGAAGCCTTGAAAAGAAGACAACATTGCGGTGCCCACTAAAAGTTGGATCTGTGGATGGAGTAATAAGAGTACAGGAACTACAAAGATACGTCCTGTTCAGAGTGACAAGCATTTTGAAATGGAAACCTATCAACTGCCTACAAGTACCAACTCTCGCACCGAACCCCCAGCAAGCAGCTCCTCTATTCAACCCTTCAAACCGGAGACACTTTCCATAACCCCTGTCCCCCAAATATCTGCTGCTGCCCCCCCATCGAGTCCGCTTTCTTGTTTCATGGCGCATGGAACAAGCACCGACCAGGGACTTGCCCATCACGACTGTCGCAACAAAACCACACTGCGGCGCACTGCGCCAACGACCAACCCCCATCGCCAAACGTGTCCTACCAAGCTAACGCTGTCGTACGCTTCTCCTCCTCTCAAAAACGAGTGCAAAAGCACCCGTGCGAACCGCGAAGGTTTCTCTGTCTGGTGTACTGCAGATGCGACGGGCGGGGTTTGTCTATCCTGCGGTGGCCTTTCTCTTTCCGACCCTAGCTACGAAACCGGCCTTGATGGGCGCGACCGAGCGCGACGAGCCGCACTGTTCGCACCGCAGGAAGAACAGCCGGTTCTCCTTGGACAGAATGGTGTCGGGACTCTTGCACCCGTTGCACATGACGTACTCGTCTGCAAACAAACGTTGATTGACTGTTAGACGACAGAGCTGCGTGCTTGAACTCTAAGACCGTACTAGTTCGTCAAACCCAAACGAAGTCAGAAGTTCCACTCGCCTGCTGACCACAGCAAACTAAAGCCCAGTTCTTTCCGCCTCAAGGGACCTCTCACCTCGAGGAACGACGACATAGACGCCTGTGCTTGCGCAACACTTCTATTGAGTTAGGAAGCTCCTTAAATAGAAAAACTTATCGTATTTATTTATCCTCTTGACAACAACGCCGCCAGACTGCTGCGAAAAGTATCACAAGTCAACCCAATCCGGGAAGCCCTTGGACCCGAAGTGAGCAAGCACTCAACCAATAACAGCAACGAAGCTCCAAGCGAAAAAAAGTTACACAAACAGCACCGTAAAGGAGATACGGTAGGAGGGATTGACGGCCAGACTACTTACTGACATACCGCCGCAGGACTCCCTCAAAGACCTTGGGCAGGAAACGGCCCTTGACGACGAGGCGCTGCTGCCCGTCGAGGGAACCGCTCGTCCCCAGCTCCGCCAACAGGAAGGCCATCACGTGCTCCGGCTGACGATGCATCCTGCAGACAGACAGGGAGGCGACATTGAGCGTCAAAACGCAGTCCGCAGGGCTCTTCCAGTTATAGTGGTGTGGTTCTGAGGGGAACACTACAGGCGGAAAAGGAAGCGATCGAGTGTCACACTGATTTTCGCCTGCTTTCATTCGTAGCCCTTGAGGTGGTGCGGTTCTAAGGGATCCCTGCCTCGAGGGCGATACCCACATTGCTTCGCATCTTAGGGAGAAGAGGGAACAAAGCAAAGGCTTTCCTAACAAGGTAACGAACGCTTCCTACCGTAAGTACAGGCGGAAATTGTGCGCAATATGCGGAACCTTTTCGGCGAATCGATCACGTGGATAGCCCAAAAAGCTCGAGTTCGAAGAAACACAATTGGCTATGAAAGGAAAGGCAAGGGAATTGAACCAACAAAAGAAGCTCAATCTGCACGGGCAGCTCCCACAGGATGGACAGATAGAGAACGCGAGCACCGCGTCGCTTCGGTGTCTTTTCGTACCATGTCGCGCCCTCGCGAAAAACCTGATTCTGTCCATATTTTTGCGGCAAGTTGCAGCTTCATGCGAGCCCTGCTCGGCCTGCAACCTGTCAGACATCACACTACGAAACACCACTCGTGCAAGCTGCGATACCCGCAGATAGCTAAAAAGTCGAAGACTTTGAGCAACTCACGTTTTGCAGAGGTCGGTGAAGTTGGCAAAGACGGTCTTCTTGGTCCCTTCCCGCAGCACCTGCGGCGGCTTCATGATGGTCCGCCGCTTCTCGCCCGCCAGCTCAGGGTTGTTCTCACGAAGAATGCCGAACACGCGGTCCAGCAGCTGCAAGCGGACCAAGGGTTAAGGGTCGCTTATGTCAAACTAGTGTACGCATTCGCCTATCAGCACTTATGACCGTTTGAAAAGGGCGAGGAGTAAACACGGGGGCCAGCAGCTGCGATAGGAGGTGGCAACCGATGGGACGGGACTCCTTGACGGGACTCGGTCTCAATATCACGTGGCAGAACGAGCGGGTTGCGCAAAGCCCACCAAAAGAGGTAACGCCGCTACTTTTCAGGAAGGAGAAAAGGATGCAAATCGCGCGGTCCAGCTGCTGCGAGCGAGTTGGACTCCGAAGCTTGAGTGAGAGACGGTGAGAGCGACGGCCTGCTTAGGTCGAGCGTGACGTCAAATGGGCTGTCCAGGAGCTGCGTTATGTAATCAATTGTGGAAAGAGCGGGTTTGCACAAAGAGCGGGTTTGCACAAAGCAAGGTCATACGATAACATGCAGAGCACCGGTCCAAAAAGAGCGTCCGATGGAGGCAAACTCTACAAACTGCCATTTAAACGACAAAGAGGAAGCAAGGGCCCATTGCTAAGCCTTGCGCAGCCTTATGTTGGTTTTTATTTGTTTCTCAAGAATGCTGGGAGGACTTCTTACCTCCTCATACTTGTAATCGCGATCCGTGCCCTCCCAGGGGTACTTCTTCGTCGGCTCCTCTTCTTCCTCATCATCCTCATCCTCGTGATCGGCCCCTCCCTCCTCTGCCCAATAAGAAAAGGCAAGTCAGTCTTTTGCAGAGAAGCGACCAATCCATTCTGATCGAGCTCATTGCAAGAACGAGCAGTGGCACTGCTGTCAAAGTCTGATTAGTGCCGAACGAAAGCGATTCAGTCCTTTCTTCCGATTGATACCAGTACTGCTAGAACAAGCGGAAAGACTGCGAATCAGCCAAAACGGGCGTTGAGAAAAACTGGGACCTCGACCTCCATTTTGCGTAGAATTATTGTGAAGAAAGCCGGCCCCTCTCTCCTCTGCCGTCAGAAAGCTAGTCAATCTTTCCTTTGACTGCCTACCAAGATTGCCAAAGAATGCAGAACTACTCCGTTCAAAGTCCAAACAGCGGCGAACAAACAGCCAAGGCCTCAAATTTTACATGGTGCAAAAGAGTCGTTGATGGAATCTTGCAAACGTGCATGACAATCCTCACAAGACTGAAGCTTTCAAGATTCACGAGGTTGAGAAGGGTCCGACTTCTGTAGTAGGTCCCCTCTACGGAACTTTGTTCCCTTCCGTCCAATTCAATCAGATACCAAAATCCATAACCAAATAACAACTGTTGAAAACTTTTCTCTACAGGCATCACCAGCAGCCCCGTTCGAGCTTCAAGGTGGAAGGGAAACCCTGGAAAGGCATCGTCATTCTGGCCTTCTACTCTCAAGCTGGGGCCCTCAGTCTCAAAAGGTAACCACACCTGACTGCTCAGGACACAGCGTTTGCTCAGCAGATTGAGCAGGCCTGGGCAACATCATCGTTGTGCAACATCAATGTCCTGGGGACAGAACCTGACACTAGTAGCTCATATCCATTATGTGCATTTACGGGGCTAGCAATTGAGGCAGCCTTTGACTTTCCCCGGAGTCTGGCAATACCTCGGAGTTGGCCCTTAGAGTCACTGCGGGGCTGGAAAGTCCCTACCAGTTCTTCCGCTCGTGCATGGAATTCTGAGATGTATCTCTGGAACTCTTACGATGTGCCAAAAGAACCGATTTTTGGCAAAAGAGTAAACTTGGTATCCAGATTGCTCACCATCGTGCGCATCTTCCCCTTCCGGGGCAGCCTCCTCATCCTCCGTATGCGTCTTCTTCTTCTTCTTCTTCTTTAGAGGCAGCGAAAACGTGGATGTCGTCACCTCCGCATCCCCCTCCGCATCCTCGCCCTCGTTCTCTTCCGGAGCCTCGTCCCCGACCTAAGAGTTCAGTTCACAGGTTAGCATATAATCACAAACAGGGGAGAACGACAAACGTTCACCTTATCATGTCGGGGAGAGTGGAAGACCGAAGAATGACAATAAAGGACGAGTGCATGGAATGGGTTTAGAGTTCAGATCTACTTTTGAGTACTGGTACCAGTATCAGAGTTCAAATAAGTTTGTTCATGATTACAGGAGACCTATGTGTTGGTGTAAAGAGCAATTGGAATGCTTGGATGACGCTTAAGGTACATCAGCGAATCACAACTAATATCTTGACCCGAGAACTTGAATAGCATGGTGGCGGAACTGGCACCGATTGCTCACTGCTGAGTGCTTCTTATTGGCGCTTTTGTTTGCATGGATAAAGAAGTCAGCAATTGGGATCTTCCCTCGGTCTCGCCTCTCAACTTACAGTGATGAAAACCAGACTGAGCAGCAGGAACTTCCATACTTACGGGCTTCTTCTTCTTTTTCTTCTTCTTCAGACCGGCGAAGGAGTCCCCATCCCCGTTGGCTGCCACCTCCTCCTCACCAACTGCACAGCAACAAGTCAGGATCAGCAAAAAAAATCCTGCGAAAAATATTTGATTCATTATTACACCCAAACCTTTCCGAAGAAGCAAACCCGCCAGACCGACCGGAGACACAAGCTGCGGCAATAAATGAGAGTCATCCAAGGACCGTATCACCTAATCCATGAACCCAAGAAATCAAGTTGCAATGAAGTCAAGCAGTTCAGCACAAACGCAAGCGTCTCAAAACTCACAGCAAGAGTACATGACTTTATGCCCAGCATGCCAGCCCCCTGCACTGCTCCCAAGGTCAGTTTGAATTTCACCATTCACAATCAGCCACCAAACACAATCAGCCAACAGCATTTCGCAAGGTCTCCATCCGCTAGCAAGTAACCATACAACCTGCTTATAAAAAACATAACAGCCCAGACAGAAACTTGCCATTCAAGTTCTCCATCTTCTCCGCCACCCCGTCCGCTTCCTCGTCCTCTGCGATTCTGACCTTCTTCTTCTTCTTCTTCTTGGAGGGATCAAAGACGCCAAGCTGCACCAGAAAGTCAAAATGGATTGTCAGAAGCAAGCTCGCATCCCTGACGTCAATATCCCTCAGCACTGGCACTCCCAGCCTAGTTCCTGGTGGAAATATGGTAATGGTGAACTTCACAGGTTAGGGTTTCTATGTAACTTGACCAGAAAATCTCCGTTTGAAAAATAAAACTTGCATTGCAGAACCTCCTAAAACCACCTCCAACAATTGCTGGGATTTACATTCTGTCGCAGCTGTGCCTCCACGAAGTTGCCTGCAATGCAGACACTTGACCATAGGAAGCGATATCTTAACGGCAGCCGCAACCAGTTCCCACTTCAAGCGGGGTGCCACTAAAGATTGTTCAAAACAACCAGATCATCTCAATCGGCCCCCAGTGTGAGCGGTGCAAGTAAGATGTTTGCACACTGCACCAGATGCAACACTGCCAACAGCTCCCTTTTCTGTCATTGCTGATAAAACACGAAACCAATGACTATGAACGAGGTGGTTGTATATAGAAACTAATGGATCTTTATGAAGGTGACGGCTTCCAACTCACAGCAATTCATTCGTGAGTTGCTGATATCACAAATGGCGCCAAAGACCCAACGACACTCGTCAAGGGTCAGGGCCAGAAGCTAGCATATGTACTATTCTTATGCATAACCATATCTCCAATCTGCAATCAATTCCTTCACTTGCAAAGAAACCTAGAAAGGAGGCACCACCAGACAAGTCAGCCGTAGAAGTACCAAATCTGCCCATGATCCAAAGTACGCTCAATAAACCATTACCAGCAGAGAAGATGCTACCACGCCAAAACGTACGAATGAAGCAAAAGGCTTACATCCTCCTTCTCCGCTTTGACTTCCACCTCTTCCTTCACTTCGTCACCCATAGTGACCGCGTTACTTACACGAGGGGGCTTCCCTTGCGGTTTCAAAGTTTCCCTTCTACGTTCTTCACAACTGCACGATGAACTGGTTACAATCAGATGCCCATGATCAACCCCCTTGAGGGTGAACGCAACGTGACGTCCTGCTGTCGCGCCTTTCTCAAATCCTTGAAATTACCTTTTCAAACTTAAAGTCGGGACTCGGGAGTCGGAGAAAGCGCGGCCTAGCTCATAGCGGCATAAACAAACGAGGTGTGGGGCAAAATTGTCTCTGCAAGTTTCGATCTCACTGTGAGTAAGCGAGTGAGTCACTCAGTGAGTGAGAGAGTGAGTGAGTGAGCTCTCGACGCATCTCGTCCATCGAGAGTGTTCCAAAAGTTTTCAGGAAGAACTTCTGCATCCTCGATGGTCTGTCTTGATCGTAAAACAGGCATCATCAACCGTCCGATGAACCCCGCGTTTCACAAGCCATATGTAAGAGCGGAGGCAGCTTCCGTGCAAGCAGCCCGCCAGGTGTTCACGATTTGGGGAGGGGATTGCTGAGTGCTCAGAGTTCGATGTGACGTCTGCATTCACCAATACCTTCTCAGAAGGCCAGCCCCCAGGATCAGCTAAGCTCTAGCTACGGCTATGGCGGTCAGAGGCGCCATGCTTTGTGCTGGCTGCTCGAGGTAACAATGGGGCTCCGGGACAATCCTTGTAGTTCTTCCCCACGAGTCTACAAATTTGAAGCAACTTTGAAGTGGCGGTGCACGAACCGTGAAGGGCAGCACTTGGGAGCATTTGGGAGCATAGCAATTGGGGCAGTCCTACTAGCTGGCCATCATGAATCAGTTCACAGACGACGTCTTGCGCCACATCTTTGGTCGCCTGAGCTCCCCGGAAGCTCAAGCGGCATGCGCCCAGACCTGCAAGAGTTGGAATAGACTGGAGCGTGAAGCCAGGCGTGTAATCCATCTCAATGCAGCTGCTGGCATACTTCCCGCGCAGTTCCAATGCTCCTACCCGGGGCAATGGGTTTCTTTCACGCTGGCTGACAGTGCCCCCGTCATTGTGGAACCAGATTACAAGACTTTCAGCCTGGAAAGCTTCGGGCACAGCGCGGATCCTTGGCTCGACGTGCTGGGGTTCAAGGTGTCGCTGACATCGCTCACACTGGAGAATGTCCACGTCAGCCACGGGGCGCTGGCGGCTTTCCTCCGCCGACGAGGGGGCACTCTGAGGCACCTCCGGTTAGAAAGTGTTTCAGGGGTTGATGGCGCAGCGATGGGGTTGATCGCTGAGCACTGTCATAAGCTGGAATCTCTTGCCGTGGGCTTAGAGCTTGGCTCGAGTTTTTCCTGGGCCACACACTTCTTGTTGTCTCCTTCCAAGGGATCCCTCACTGGCCTCTCATCCAGCGACTGGAACACTGCCCCACCCGCTCTGGTTGCCCCGCTGATCTCAGCCTTCTCAGGTCTCCAGAGCATCGACCTTTCCAGCGTGGAGATGTGGTTCTTCCAGAAGGATGGGAGCAGGATCTTCGCGGCAGTGGCAGGGCTGCCAAAGTTGACGACGCTCAAGCTCCCCTTTGCAATCGGTCAGCAGGACCTGTTGCTGTTCCAGTCAGTCCTCCTGCAAGTTTCCAAGCTCGAGTTGTTTGACGCTGAGGGTTTCGCGCAAGTGGCCCCCAGTCTCTCCTACCTCGTAGAGCTCAGCGCGTTTGGGTCGCTAGAGAGGTATCGCCAAATAGGCCTGCGCTGCAAACGGCTTCAGACGGTTTCATTCCAGTCACAGGACGGGGAGACTGCACCAGTAGAACTGCGAGGGTTGCAATCTGTTCTGTTGGGGTGCAAGCGATTGCAGGAGCTTTCGTTGAGCGACCTGGACTTGGGGGAAATGCATGCCGCGCACGAGATCGCGGCGATCACTGACGAGTTGTCGAGGTTAAGGGCCCTTAGGTTAGGCTGGTACTGTCACAGTCGTCCCATAGCGGTAGAACGCAGGAACACGTGTCAGATTCTAGAGAGCTGTGCAAATCTGACGCACCTTGAGTTGTCGTTTGCTTCCGAGTCCCATTCGCGCGACCAGGAGCTGGAGTCAGTGTCGCAGACGTGTAGATCGCTGCGTCATCTCAAGGTGGAGCGAGTTGGAAGCTCGGACCGCAGTCTGGCTATGATAGCGGTTAACTGCAAGGAGTTGGTTAGCTTAACCCTGGTCCAGGTAGCGGTGGGAGACGTGGCAGTAGCGGCCATTGCACGCCACTGTAAGAACTTGAAGAGCCTACGGCTGGTGGACAGCAAGCTGTCAAAGTTCGGCGTCTCAGAGCTGGCGGCGGGCCTCCCCAGTCTAGTTACGTTGACCCTGGAGAGGAAACAGAAGGCGGTGCACCATGTAGCTGGGACATTCCGTCAGCAGCGCTTCATGCACCTTCCTCAGAGCGTGAAGCGGCCGTTTGACAAGATTGGGAGCCAGTTCACGAAGGCGAGGCCGCTCTGGGTGGCGGAGAGCTACGCGGGGGTGCACAGGGCGAGCTTGGTGGCTTACCCGGTGCTGATGTCAGGGAAGCTTTCCTGGAGCGACTGTGCGGAGGGGGACAGCAGGAGCTGGCGCACGGATCCAAGCAGGACGGTGGTCTTTGGTCCGTATGAGACGGCTGTTGTAAATAAGAACAAGTAACGGTGAGTCGTTCTTCGCAATGGCTTGCCTTCATGGCGTCAATCTGCTTGTTCATGTTTGGTTATAGGACAGTGAGTGAGGTTTCATCCTTCTCTCTTCTGGGGAGGCCACCTAAAGTGAGGATCACTGCCGAGTGAAGTGAGCAGTCTTTTGATCATTAGCTCGAGATCCGGCTGATACAGATCAAGAGCGATTTGTCGTTTTTCGCTAGAGGCGCAGCCAAATGTTCCAGAGTTGTACCCTATGCAATTTTACGATTTCAATATGTGAGGCATACCACTTCGTTTTACCGTATGCAATTTTACGATTTCAATATGTGAGGCATACCACTTCGTCCAGATGTAGAGCATCAGGACACTCCTTCCTGTTGCATTGTCAGGCTACAGCCGGAAGGCTTCGAGGTGGTCAGTGCGGTTAACATCTTGATGCTTCCCCGTTTGTCAAGCTCAGTGCATCGAAGTAGTCGAAGATTTCTTGGTCCTGCATTGCGGTGCGTTGTAGAATTCTGCTCCTGTTCGACGTCGCCATTTGGACACTCAAACAACCATCTGCCAAAGCTCGGTTCCCATTGCGGAATCTGAATTTTGTTGCTTGTTAGAACTTTGCAGCTGTCTGATTGAGGACGCTCATTCCTTTACAGGTGTCCTTTGGTGTTTTGCGCTGCAGTTGTGTTGTAGAGCATACCTTATGATACATAGACCCTTGCGAGGGCAAGGATTCGTTTAGTGTATTTGGATACTTGAGGTATGGGCAGAGTGTCTTGAGAATGTGGCGAAAGTTTGACACACAGTAGATTGGGGTGTAATCTTATGTATACTATTTATATGGAATTAGTGTCTGCACAACCTGCACAATGTCTGGATTGTTGCATACGTGTTTATCTGCACTTAACATACTTCTGGAAGCTCCGTTCTTCCAATTGTGTCTGTTTTTGTAAAGTCAGAATGTCATTGAACGTCAGAACGTCATCCCTTGATAAGGTGTTCAAAACACGAACTTATATTTGAAGACAATGAACAAAAACGGGCTGGCACGCTGGATGGTCATGTGTGACTGCATTCGGGTGCATGTCACAGCACCAGCGATTGGGCGACACCATTTTGATCTCATAAAGTTTAGGAAGTCTGGAAGCCTCGTATGGTATAGTAGGATATGGATAAACTTTAATAGGAATAGGTAAGGTACACGAGTACGGGTGGGGTTAGTTTGGTGGTTAGGGTGGGTTCGGGTGCGGAGCAGCCTAGCAAGTCATTTTGTCCTTAGGGTTTTAGTGTTGGTTAAGCCGAGAAATTGAGTACTTTCAGTACCTAAGATCCTTAGGTATTGACGGTACTACCGGTATTAAAGTTTATGGTTATTATAGTAGGTGTCCTATTAATGACACACAAAGTACGCGATACCCATGCCAGTTCAGCATGCAGCCGGACATGCACAGGAAGCTGCCAAGTTGAAAATGGAACTCTTGAGCTAGCCTAGCGTCGGGTCATGCGGGTCACGGTCACGCCGGTCCGCAGGCGGCTCGCGCCGCGCACGCCGCGAGCTTTCGTTGAGTGACCTGTCGTGCAAGGCATATGCACTGAATGTGCCACAAAGTAAATGCTGACGGTGTCGAGAAAGATTCCACCGCCCGCCTTTGACCCGATTAGGTGGGCAATTTAGGGAACCAGTCTCATTGCGCCAGAACCGTTCGTTACGTCCTAATTGTATCGGGACAAGATCTGACCGTCGACTGCAGATTCGGAACTCTGAAGCTACTAGGGAGTTGCTGACGTAACGTACAGCTCTTGAGTCTTGAGGGAGCCTAGCTAGTACGGTGTACCGTGTGTCACAGCGAGTCGCCAACGGCAGACTACGGTAATATGATTGAGAATCTTGGGTTGCGAGAAGGTGAAATCTCCGGGCTGAGCTGCCCCGCTGAGCCCCGCTGATCAGGAGGGGGCTTCCCCCGACTCTTGTCTTTCTGTGGTTTCCTCTCAGAGAATCTCTTTCCCCCACTTGAGTGCTTGCGGCTTGCATTGCGCACCATATTCACGTTGCATGCACGACGCCCAGGCTGTGATCCTTGATTTGACATTCTACAGAGAACCGGTTCCTTTAACGGTATCCTACGTTTCATTGCAATCGTACAAGCTGTAGCTCGAAACACACGTGACACAGTTGACGGCGCATACGTACATGCATAACATTGTCGGGTACCATGTAGAAGACCTCTCTCTGCCTGCCAGCATGCGTAGAACTCGCTGCCTACAAGCAGGACTGCGGCGTTGACAGGATTGAACAAAATCAAGCTGCGATTAACAAGTTTCCGGCTTTGTTGGCTCGCTTCAGGAAAGTTGGGGGCCGTGGAGAGATTGGGGAGCTGAGCTATCAAGCACTGTGCGCTTGCTGGATGCAACGGCGGCCAGCAGTCAAAACAGCTGCGACTCAACAGCAAAAGATGGTGAGGTAATCCAGCAAACGCAAGTTGGCTTTGTGCTTTAAGCTTTGCTCGCAGCGTCGCACAGAATACTCTGAATTGACGGGCTAGCTCATATGACAGCTGGCGCACTGATCGCTCATGCGCCCACCTGCTTCAACAGCTGGTTTTTGAGTGGGAAAGCTCTTTTATGCTCAGCCAAGCGGGGACAGGCAGACACGGTTCAGGTCTGGGATTGAGGCCTCATGCCCCACTGATTGGCTATAAGGATCATGATCATATTCGGCGATGCCAAGAAAGATACAATTAAGCTCAAGCTGAGTGTAGATTCTTCTGACACTGTGAAGAAGGACTTACAATTTATTGCTTCCAAATGGCATCAATTAATATGGAAAGCTTTACAATCTCAGAGACAACGAGAGTCTGGCCCAGAATGGTTACCTCTAGGCTCCACCGATTGGACCTTTTCTGCCCTTCAAAAGCTGGCCTCTTAGATTGGGGCCAGGCTCCAGAAACGTAACAGTTTCACAGCAAGTACTGGTGGGCATTTCGGGCAATCCTGAGTTAAATTTATGTGCAGCGCATCTCTACCGAGTTTATGTTTTAAAAAGCTCTGGTATCACTTCGTCAAGCTGCCTGGCGGTGACATAATACTGTAGACACAAATGTCCAAACATTTTATCACCACCCTCCTCAGACGGCATCTTCTCTAGCAAAAGAATCAATCAAATTCCAATCGCCTCTTTTCGCAAACTGCCAACGACCCAAGCAAATCTTCCCCTCCCTCTTCCTATGCTCTCATCATGAAATAATACTTACCCCTCCCCCCCCCTCGTTTTGCAGGCTTCCCTAGCCCCGTTCCTCCTCGCCGTCCTGGCCCTTTGCGCCGCCGCCCCCGCCGTCGCAGCCCGCGAGCTCCTCCAATCAGCTGCGACCATTTCTCCAAACATCACGCAGCTCTCCAGAAATGGGGAATCGGTTGGCGTGACCTTCACTAACCCAAACCCAAGTGTGAACGATGCCATCGCGTTCGTTGTTCCGGATACCGCGGACTACAAGAAGACCGCCCCACAAAAGATTAGATGGGCGATCGAGTCGGGGCCTGCGGGGCAGTACCTGGCAACCAAGCAAGGGACACTCAAGTAAGCTGCTGATTCTGTTCATTCCTTTGCAACGTCAAAACCGTTGCAGTTACAGATGAAAATCAGTTGTTCACTGCAGCGTCCTTTTGTGACGAGCTTTACCCAAGAATTAAAAGCTCATTCTGATTTGCTGAGGCTCTGAAGAAGGGATCTAGGGAAGGGGATTGTGCTATCAAGTACTTGCAGATCTGCTGGATCCATTCTAGGAGAATTGTGTGCAATCCAGTCTCATGTGTTGGATGGACATTGAATTTGGAAGGAGTTCTCTTTTCGACCCCGCATTCTTCGAAAGTTGCTGAGCTCCTTAGAAGGCTCGGTATACCAAGAAACGCGGACGTGCCATATCCATTCGAGATTCTAGATCCGCACACTGAGATCTCCTACTGATCTTCAAACCGAAATTCCTTAACCATTCAGCTCGGAAAGTTCTCCAACGTCAGATTCCTGATACTTTGTCCATTATCTTCGCAGTTTCCCATCCTGAATCACCGCCAGTCGTTCAATTTCATCTTCGTGACCAACGTCAAGACGAGCGGCTGGCAGGGCAACTTCACGCTGCTCGCGCAGACTGCCCCATTCCGCTGGCCAACCTTGATGAGCCGACCGCCAGTCATATCAACATTGGCAAGGACGTGCGACGTGAGTCGATTAGGACCTTGTCTCGTGATACGACTTGATTCTTTGCATGCCGGATCTCTGCTACTTTTCCCTTGTTTTGGAGCCGTTCTGCTTCAACTGATCTTTCTCTCAAGCCCCAGTACGACTTCGGCGATGTCAAATTGCGGGATCGCTTCTTCTGTCCTTCGTCAGTAGGCCTTTCCTAGTCCCGACGGATCCAGACTTCTGCGTACCGTTTGCTTGCACCACTGGATTAGAGGGCGGCGTCTCAAGAACCAAAAGGTCAACCTCATCTCTGCGAGCGCAGCCAGTCGACCTGTTCCATAAAGTCCTGAAGGAGGTGGTCGATGTGGCAAATGCTAAACCAGCCCCTTTGCGCACTGCTTAGTACTCCTTTTATTAACTCGCAGGCCGTTCGCCGACTTTCCTTAGTCGAACAAGAGCCTCAAATTTGACCAAGGCTTTCTTTCAGATTGAGGTCTGTTCGTTGCAGATCTGTCGTATTAGCGGATTGACCGAGCGTTTTCCTGGCGAGCAGTCCCTTGCCTCGTCATGAGTTCTGCTTTTCGTTTCATCTTGTCTTCTAAAACCAGGACTCAAATCGTTCTCAGAACCGATATGAAGCGAAGAAAGTACACAGAATCTCGTGTAAATGGCAAGGAGGCGAGCACAGTCAAGGAGTCTGGAGGAAGCTTGACGTGATTCGCCTGAAACGTCAATGTCAAACGGCTTTTCGTATCGTCTCGGGTAGTCCCGCTTTTTCAGGTTTGCGGGTTTCGCAACCTGCCGGGCGCGAGGCGCCGGGCGGCCAGGCGGTGGCGGCGACGTCGCGGCCGCGCGCGGCAGGAAGGTCGATTGATCTTGCGCTTTGAAGGCGCTGCAAACCGAGTGTTTATTTAGGAGACTATTAAAGAGGGCGTCGCAGGACCGGTCCTACATGACGTCACAGAAGTGACATCGAAGCATGGATTTGTGGTACGCAGTCGCCTCAAATTGGTATCAGCGGTGTTTTCCCCGAGTAAAACTCTCTAATTTAAGTGACCGGTGCTGAGGTCAATAGACGCCCTCTTTAAGGACATGCGACTGGGCAAAACGCACGGGATGCCCGTTTATTCTTCACCCTCTCAGGCTTCCATTCTTCGAATAAATTAGATGGCAAACGTATCAAGGAATAGTCCTCATGCCTGATTACCTCACGAATACTTTCTACTGGTGTCGAAGTACGAGAGCGTATTCGGTTGCAGCTTGAAAACTCAGATCTGGAATATTGCCTCGATTGCCGCCAAGATGGCAGAGCTACCCACATTCCGCACTTGCTTACTACGTCGCTTGTGCGCATTCTGGTGCCGAAAAGGCTCTTTGTCGCAATCAAATCACCCATCAGGGAAACCATCCCGCTTGCTCGCGGAACCAAGCGAAGATTGATATCCACATTGGTACATGAACAGTCAGGCATTAAGCACTCGCAATCCAAACTTCAATGTTGAGACTGCCATGTCTTGTGCAAGTTGTATTGTGTCGAGGTGATAAGAATAGTTGTAATGTGTTGAGGTGATCGATATCACATTGAGAAAAATACATAAATCAGCCACGCTCAAGAGGGCCGGACTCTGAACCTACTACGACTTAGGTGCCTTGCAAGTCTAACATAGTTCTCTCTTTGAGTGGATTTTTGGAGCTTCTACTACTTCCTTGCAAGACGCGTACGCCGTTGCTGTTCGTAACGCTCGATCGACCTAACTACGGCTTCGCTGCAACCTTCTCTAAGTCGTCTCGTGAAGAAGTAGTCATGAAGCGGCCAATTAGCGATGGACTCAGGCAGCTCCAGGAGAGCACTACAGCCGGCTAGATTAACGGCGGAAAGATTGCACCAATCTCCTACACCACTTGGCAAAGATACAATTCCCGTGCAGCCCTTCAAACTAACCTGTGTTACGCTTCTCCATTCCCTAACTGAGTCGGGAAGCCCCTCCAAAGCAGTGCAAGCCTCCCGTCCTTCGCAGGTGCCCACGGTCAGCTCACGAAGACTATGCCAAGAGCCTACGCTCTCAGGCAAGCTCCTCAATCGTTTGCAACCACTTAGATCTATCCAAAGTAATGCCCTCCACTGGCCTACACTTTCTGGGAGTAATTCCAGATTTGGACACGAAAGATGAAGGCCTTGCAAGCTGCTCCAAGCGCCGACGCTGACTGGCAAGCGCAGCAAGTCCGAGCTGATCAAGAAGAGGGACCGCAGCTGTCTCCATGCCCCAGCAGCTTTCTCTGGAAGCCTTTCCGTTTGGAGGCCATTAACACTCAGAATCTCCAACTTGGTCCACTCCTGAGTAGCTATTGGTAAGTCTGTCAAGACGCCAAAGTAGGCGTGCTGAAGGTTCTCCCAGGCCCCCGCCTCCGGTGGAAGAACTAGATTCACGCTAATTGCTTGATTGAAACAGATACTTCTCAGCTGCTTCCAGTGGCACACCTCTTTGGGGAGCGTCAGCAACTTATTACATCTATATATGCCAAGCTGCTTTAAGTTCCTCCAGCCCCTGACCCCACTAGAAAGGTCGCAGATCATGCTGCACCCTTCGATGTTCACCAACTGGAGTTGGCCGCATGCCTTGACGGAAACAGGAAGACGCTCTATGCCAACTTTGGAAAGAAATAGCCGGGTCAAAGCGCCCCACGAGTCGACCCTCAAAGTATCGGACAGAAAAGTAGTTGAAACCGCACTTTCTCCTTCGGCTGAGTCCTCCGCGCATCTGAAGGCAACGTCCTCTTCGGCCAGCAGGCTCTTCATCTTCCAGCATTTTGACAACGTTATCTCTTTCAGGGAAGACCACCTCTGTGTTCCCTCGGGCAAGAATTGGAGGTTTTCGCACCCAGTGATGTGAGCTTCTTTCAGTTGAGACCAGCTGCCAACAGGCTCAGGAAGATATTCCAGAGCAGGGCAGTCGGTGAATCTGAGAGTCCTTAATTCTGTCCATTCACCGACACCTTCTGAAAGGTCCCTAATGCCGTCGCAGCCATGCAGGAGAAGGCTGCGTAGCCTTCCCCATCCCGCCACTCCCGAAGGCAATCGACCAAGGCTCTTGCAGTGGTAGAATTCTTCAGATCTCAAGGACCTCCATCCGCTTACAGAGGCGGGAAGATCATACAAGCCGACTTGATAGAGTTTGATCTCCTCCAACGCCTGCCAGGTCCCCACACCAGGCGGAAGATTCTTCAGTTCGGGGCACCATGACAAAGACAGCATTCGCAAGCTGGACCAGGAGAACACCCCTTCTGGAAGGGACCGAAGATCGGGCGCACCATGAATCTTCAACAACGTCAGCTGACGCCAGGCTTTCACCTCCTCCTGGAGATACCGGAGCATAGGACAGGACTCGAGACGCAATTCTTGCAAGATCTCCCACTCTCCAATTGCACCACCTGGTGCCAACTCAACAGCAGTCAGTTTGAGTATCTTCAGGGACCTCAGCTTTGTCCAAAACCTGCTGGTTGGAGGCAAGGTGTCGCACTGATCCAGCTGCAGACTTTGCAGATTCTTCCACCCTCCGGATGCTTGGGACTGGAGGCCAAAATCAGGAACAAAAGCACCGTGAATTGAAATGCTCTGAAGCCTGTCGAACCCTCTGATAAGGTGTAGAGGCAGTGACTGCAACTGCAGGCGCTTTGACGTCATGCTTGGGGCAAAGTCGAAGCGCATATGCTTGATGTTTGTGGCGCTCAGGTCCAGGCACTGTGCTATCCTCTTGAATATGGCTGGAGAGGAAGTTTGGCCGCCTGTCTTGAACAAGACCTCCTCCACGCATGGGAAGAAGCTCAACAGCTTGAACAAGTGCTCTTCAAGGTTTTGTTCACAGTTGTTGCAGTTGACGAAGAGGCGCCTCTTTGCCTCTCTTCCGATTGTTTGCCACTGCCTGCATACTTGCGTAAAGCGCCTCAAAGACACTCTCAGACCACAAATGTCTTCGTCAAGAAAGCACGCTATCCTGACAAGAACGTCGCTGGGCAAGACGTCGTTGATGCAGGCTGCTTTCGCTTCACTTTGAGAAGCCATGCTCGATTCTCAAACCCTGCGCTCTGCTTCCTTCACGTTTGACTGCGCTTCGTGAAAATGATCAACAGAAATGCATCCGGCTGTTCCGGACGAGAACAACGCACCATTTCCATTTTTCCCTGATCTGCATTTGGAGCACATGACAAGGAACGGTCCAAAACGGCGCAATCTGCCACGTTGCACGAAGACAAGCTACGAAAACGCGCGCTAAGCCTTTGTTACTCGACGCGCGGCCCGGCACTTTTGCGACAATGCATCTGTGTTTTCCAGATTGCGCGGGCTGGCCAAAGGGTCTGACCTCGCGCCGAAGCCGGCACAGAGCACGCATTTTGGCAGGAATAAAGAACAACTTCATGTGGCCCGCAGCCCTTTGCATGACTATTCACCTTTTAGAGGCGGTACGTGCACTCCTGGCAAGACCAGGCAGGCTGCATGGCACATCAAAATACTGTAGCATACCATGCATCGCCATTCACACCAACTTGTGCGGCAAACGCGCGCTCGACTCAGGAAACACAATGTGTATATGTACCATTGCAAATGCACAGTGCACGCCGGAGACCATGGGCTCACTCATATGCTCGTATATCTTAAAGGCGTTGCCGGCGGCCGGCCGCTCCAGCTAGGCCGCCATGGCGCGCATGCATACAGTGGATCAAATGCAAGCTAGTGGAGAGCGTGACGTGGTCGCGTTTGATCAAAGTATACCCGTACTTTTGGTCCCAAGCAAAGAAATCACAGTGGTCCGATCTGAGCTAGTCCGCGATGAACGCTTGAAATGATGTCTGGATTACTGCCAGTCATGTTGGCTTGCATGAATTGAAATCGACTACAAGAAGCCGAAACCAACATGCCGCCTGCACCAACTTGATTGACCCTAACATTGATCATGCTCAAAGCAATCGTACTCCGGTGGATGCCAGAACTGCTGGCTCTAACCCCTTAACCAGCGCGCAAGGCTGATCAGTTTGCATCTCGCAAATAAGTTGCATGACGTCGATAACGGTCGTATGTGGGCAGATGGCAAGCGAGAATCCAAATGTCTGATTGCTTCCGGAATAACACTTTCAAACGGATGCAATGAGCAGCTACTTCTGTCTTTGACGACTTACGAGCAGACGACCAGACACGAAGCGGTCTGCTACCGGTGTTGCTGTACCTTGATAGTCCGGAGCCTATTCAGAGCTGCCGCGATTTCAAACACCCGCGGCCGCGCATAGGTCCCAAGATGCATGTGAGGAGCTAATACGTCTAGGCCCTTGGAATGGACTTCTCGCTCGAAGCTCGCCAGCAGCTGCTGAATGCTCTGGCGCCCTGCGAACAGACATCCAAGGATGCTAAGAGACGAGCCCGTATGCAAGCATGATACGACGAGGTCACAGCTTCGACAGTGGAGGCAATTTGACGTTCTTTATATGAGGTGCATCTTAGCAGAATTCCATGTTGGCGCCTGAACGTGGGCCAGCGAGACAAAATCCTGGTCTGGTGAACGAGTGTTTCAATGGACGCGTTCAGATTTTATCCGACCCGGGTGCACGTTTAGTTGCATAACCCCGATCAGTAACCTTCGTTTGACCACAGACACTGCTTGCTGGAAACAAGTTTTGTCCCCTTTTACTGCTGCTTTTCAGACCCTGTCATGCGTCCATTAAAGACACGGAAACGTATGATTTGTCGATGGAAGCTGCTGATCAAACGCCGACCTGATGGAAGCCGCAGAACTCACCGTCGACTGGTAACCGTCGGAACAGAGCGATGGCGTCAGCAACTGCCCGGGTCTGCGACTTCTCCGCAAGCTGCAGACGATACGCCAAAGCTAGCACGTCAGCAAACATGGCGCCAGTCTCATACGCGATTGACGCCGCCTTCGGTCGCGACAGGGAAGGCGGGGCGCGTGTTAAGTCCCAGAGCAACATCTGGCGGTTGCTTGGCAGAAGACGTCGCAATGAGTGCACATATGCCCGAGTCAACTATTTGGCAAGCACTGAAAATCTAAAAGATGGAGGATTGCGGAGAAGTACCTCCGTGTCTGCTCCTAGAGGGCCAACCTCTGGAACTGCCTCAAAGAACCAGAAACACGGATTCTGGGTCCCCATCGAACATTTGAAAGATCGATTCTAAGAAAAACTGGCCCAACCTCACCTGCTCGACAGCGGCCAGGTCGATTTCCTGGTCGCCAAATGAGATGACGTTCTTGGTGCGCGCGACGATTTTGATGTCCCGGTGCCCTCCCCCCGAGAGAGGGTAGATGTCGACGGGGAACCTAGAGACCAGTCTGCCGAACGGCGCGTTTCCGTTTTCCGGGGGGACGCCCGGCGCCCCCCCAAAGTCGGCCGCGATGGCTTTGGCTTCTGACGTCACGTCCCTTGGCGCGAAGCTCTAGCGGGTGAGATAGGACGTCAGCACAGCGATAGCGCGCAGTGTCAGCTTATCATGACCTCTGCTTTTCGGTGATTAATAAAATTGTATGGCCATAGCATTGAGGTTTGCAGGTCGGAAGTGGTAGTGCAACGGTCAAGACTAGAATAAGTGCCTCACAATCTAATCTGGCAAAACAGGTCATTGGTCAGTGCAGGCTTGTGACAGAGCGTGAGAGAATCCGGAACAGAACTCCTCTGGTATATTGGAAATGCCACTCCTGAGATCCTTCGAGCGCTCACCTCCATCATTACGACGGTGTCCGCCACGTCGAAGTAATCTCCCGAGCCGCCCATGACTGCACATTTCACACCTTTTTGTCAGCGGGAGCTTTCTGCCCGACGGATCCGAGTGCTCCATATGATCATTTGTGTGCAGTGCAAGTACACAGCAGACCCCTGCATCGAGCTTGAAAAGCGACGCGCAAATTGCCGCTGACATGCGCGATCTGATTTTGAGGGATGAGGCCGTGCTGCTTGCAACGAGATCGAGCACGAACAATATTTGCGCAGTTGCCAGGGCTGAAAGATGCGTTGCTTGAGCGAGAGGCCGACACGCGGCGCGGTCTTCCTCACCGAGAATCACTGAAGTGTCGTGCTGAGTCACCATTGGCCGGATCTGTGAGGCGAGAGAAAGATAACGTCAGCAGAGCGTCGATGACTTCAGCAGAGGGGCGATGAGAGGTTCCAGGAGAAGGACTCGAGAGATTGTACACAGGACAACTTGGCGCATCGTTGCGAGCTCAATCATTTGCCCAAAATGAGGTCCCTTGTGCCGTCGGTTGAGATGCGGGGTCAATGGGATTTCTTTCGGCAATCCAGGGCACTAAAAAGCTGATACTAGCAGAAAGTGGCCATCTCAAATCGTCCACGATCGGCCGAGCTTCCTAGTTTGTTCCGCAGGCACCTCGATCGGCTTTGCCTCAAAGCGGCAGGAGCTTCAAATCTTGGCTTTTCTAGAACATTTTTAAGCAACTTGGCAGTATCATGCTTACAGCACGCGCTCACACTATCTACGCTCAACAAAGTTGCACGTCAATGTAATCGCAGTTGGAAGCACGACTGCCAACTTTTGCAACTCCCGATGGCGAGCCAGTTAAGCAACCAGTTCATTCATGAAGTAACCAACTCAGAGGATCCAAACCGGCAATGTAAGAGCTCAACACGTAAAGATGAGAAACCCGAAACTCTCCAGACCGTCGATTAATGTCTCCGAAAACGCACCTTGGCAATGAAGGGTGTGATGGGCTCCTTTTCTTTGGCCACCAGCGCCTGCATGCGCGCATCCCGTATCATGAAGTTGGTGGCGCACGTGTCCTCGTCCACCAATAGCGTCTTCGCGCCGACCTCCAGCGCCTCGATGATGTTCGTCGCCTGAATAGAAAACATACGCGATGACTGGAGGCATAAGAGATGGACGAAGGCATGATTTGTGGGGGCACGTGTCGTCGTCCACCAACAGCGTCTTCGCACCCACTTCCAGTGCCTCGAAGAAGTTGGTCGCCTGTTAAGAGAACAGATGCGATGGAACGGGGCATAAGAGATGGGCGGAAAGGCGAGCCAAGAAGCGTTTCTGCACCATTCTCCAGCGCCTTACTATACTTGGCCCCTGGACAAGGGGAACATACGCGCGGATTTTATAAGAAATGCACGGACATGAAGGCCGGGTTTTGTGTGTGCCCGTGATCTCGTCTACCAGGAGCGTCTTCTCACCGACCTCCAGTGCCTCGATGATGTTGGTCGCCTGCCAGGAGAACATAAGCGATGCTAGACGGATAAGGGATGGACGGAAAGGGAAAATGTAATCCTGTCTGCATGTGCCTTCGTCCACTAGGGGCGTCTCCGGACCGACCTCCAGCGCCTCGATGACATTCGTCGCCTGGCGAGAGACCATAGGCGATGGATAGAGGCATAAGACATGGGCAGCTGGGAAGCCAAATTGGCTGCGCATGAGTTTCCGCTCCACCAGGACCGTCTTTACAACGACCTTCAGCCCTACCCCCTCGATGTTGTTCGTCGCGGACTCGAAAGGGGTGAGCAGAAGCAACTGCTGCTAAAGTTGCCCGTGTCCTTGTGTGGACCCCAAACCGAGTGAATAGGAAAGCATAGAAAGTCATTTCTTTGAACCTTGAGCCACGAAAAGAGTTGAGCATAGCATCCTATCCTGCGCACCTGGCTAGTGCTCCCGCTCGCGTCCGGCGTCCGAAAGCACGTCGTGTCGCGTCCGAAGGGCAGGTTCGAAATGAACGGCGAGATATCCACGCCCTCCACGTGGCGCCCATCCTCTGCGCGCACCTTGACAGCCGTCGGATCGGTCGCCACCAGCTCCCGCCCGTCGCCCGGGATGTGGTTATATACGCCGGCCTCAATCGCCTGCGACGTTTTGTGGGTTTCAGAGTGACGAAATGCAAGTTCAGGAGTGCGTTAGTAGGGTTCGCCCGGCGCATTACCACGCGCTTCGATCGCCCACAATCTAGCGTGAGGTTTGAGGTTTGAGGTTTCCTTAGTAGGGTTCGAGCCTGTTGATCGGAAGGTGGTTACATACGTCTGCCTCGATCGCGTTTAGCGCGAGAAACAGTGGGCCTTAGAGTGCGTTCGCGAGATTCGTCCGTTGGCCGGAACGTGCTCGTTCACCGAGCTTCATTCGCCTGCGTTTGACAACAGTCGGTTAAGCTACCGCTTGCAGTGTTTGTTCGACTACGAGAGCGGTTGTCGCAATTCCAGAGCGGTCGTAAACCCTTTGCGAAGGAGTCTGTGTCTCATGAGACTTGCGAAGGGAAGTCTGTTTCGCCCGCTGGTCCCTCAATTCTGACGGCGGCCCTTGCATCAAAGCCCTCAGCTACAAAATAGAGAAAGAATGACACGGAACAACGAAAAATCATTAATATAGGAACAGAGAGGACAAGCAAAGGAAAGGACGCATCCAACACGGGCGGAGAGTCACCTCCAGCAGCGTCGACTTCCCGTGGAAGCCTCCGCCCACGATCAAAGTGACCCCCTTCTTGATCGCCATCCCCGTAATTGGCCCCCTGTTAGGCAGGGTAAATTTCATGGCTAGGCTTGGGGGCGACTTGAAAGGGATTGCCTCTCGGGCGTCCATCGGCTCCTCGGAGTCCCCACTTTTGCGGGGGAGGATCGATCCGTCGCCCACGAAAGCGACGAACCCGCCGCGAGCAAGGCCCTGCACAAGTAGAGAGTACGGCTTTCAGTCCATCCTTCTGCATATCTCCTACGCTCCAGATCTTACGATCGAGATTAACGAGTGTCTAGAACTTGTGGTTGTAACACCAGATTTCGGGTCCGACATGCTGAATACAAAGCGCGATCAACCATGAAGTGCGTTGACAGCCGAGACACAGGCCCATCGGCTATTTGGATCGGCAAAGAAGGGGCTTGAGGATTGGCTATCTTCGAAATCAGGCAGCTTTTGTAATTCTTTCCTCTTTGCTGAGCTGTTCCTCCCCTCGCGTTTCTGAACGGTTGTGACGTCCACTGCAGATTGAGTAAGACAAAAGCGGACCTAATACCAACCACGATTACACTGCAATGTATGAAATGCGCAAAAAAGAACCGTGTAGAAAAGACAAGCTGGACATACGACGGTAAGTTAGTCCCTGCGTCGCTCTCTCACCACATTTTTCAGGCAGATGGCCAATCAGATTCGCCCGTTCGCAAGAGAACGGCCTTGGTTTCAAAGCTAAAATGATGATGTTTTCCGTCAATCCGTAACTCACCTGTCTCAGCGTTTCGGTGTCTTCGACTGTCTCCACGTGTCGCCTCAGCCCCGCCTCATCCTGCCGGTCCATGAACAGGGCCTCCCGCACAAACCTGAGGAAACGTCAGTCCAGAGTCAGGGTGACGTCATCAACGCGAGCTCCGTGCTTTGGCCTCCGTCTAAACGGCTGGCCCCTTCACTGATCCCGCTTGTTCTTATTTCGTCTTGTCGCATGAACAAACATGATTCCTTCCTGGAGAATCGGCGACCATCGAATTTTGAATCAGGATGATGTCCCACTATGAGTAACAGCAATCCCGCGCCGCTATTCCCCTCAAGAAAACTGCAGCTCTCCCGTCTGGCCACCGGGCTTGTAATCAACCCATTTGGTGAGGATCTTTTGCAGCCTATATCAATTGTGATTTACACTAGTTAGTCCTACAAGACTCTGAAGCTCAACCTTTGTCCTGAGGTACGTCTTGGAAAAGCAAACTCTCGTCATATTCCCTAAAAACGAGCTCACTTTGGCAATTGCTGAGTCAGCACCTGGGCCGCCCACTGCCCGAGGACCGTCCGGCCTTGCGCCGGAAGCGCAACCGTGAAGCGCGCCTCGACGTTCTGAGGATTGATGAGAATACTCGTGCGCTCCAAAACCTGGTGGCATGAGAGTAGAGCCGTCGAAATCTAGAATTTTGCGATGTAAGAGTCTGGGGGTCTTTGTAGAAGCTAGAAATTCAGAGTGGTAATTGTCAGATAGTCAAAGAAGGAAAACGGCCATTTTCTCGCCAAAGGACTACAAAAGTGATTGCCAGATTGAAACGGTTGTCGACCAGACATCTTCCTTTTGGAAAGTGAACGTGAAGGACCTGAAACTCGCATGTTCGTTTTCATGCGAACATGCGACTTTCAGGTCTCATGTTCATATGTTCGCACCACATTTGTGTGGATGAAACAAGGAAATATTAGCCCAACCTTTTGTCCAGGAACATCGATGGCCATCTCGCCTCCCTTTGCGGCTCCCCAGCCGCCACCGCTCTGCTTCCTGATGTCAGCGCCGGCGTCGCTGACAACGGCGGAGAAGTTGCGGGTGAGGTAGTCGCAGAGAGCAATGTTGCGGATGCGAGTGGAGAAGAGTTCAGGGGGGAAACGGGCAAGGGCCTGCTTAACCTGGAAACGAGAATGGGCGCATCTTCAGATTGGTCTGGTACTTTTCCTCGTGCAAGCAAGTCAGAGATGCATTCATGCTGAGAATGTCTCCGATTTAAACTTGGTGACTGGGACTTTGTAACGCTAACAAACTTGTGAATATTGCACTGGTCTTGGCGTGAGTGGCAGTTCAAACCCGACCATGGTACAGGGGAGTCAAACGGCAACTTTGAAATGGTGGAACACTGGACGCCCAAAGTCTTCTACGTTCAGGGACAGAGAAGTGCTCGATGACTTGTGTGAAGGTGTAAACGACCGACTCACTTGAACGCGGCATCTCGAAGGGCCTGCAAAGGGGTCCGCCTGCGCATGGTCTACAAGCAGCGTAAACTCTGGAAATTCCCACCGCCCCACTATGTCCTTATAAGCGCCGTAGCCCTTCCCGTCAATCCTCTGCAGAGTCTGCATTAAATCTGCTACACTCCCCGACGCATTCCCTTGGTAGCTGCCGCTCCGCTCTTCCCACCCCCCAGCATTGTCAGTCTGACTCTGACCCCCAATATAGTCTGCCGCCCCCTCATCGCTGCGCCCTCTCCCCCGTCCACGTCCTCCCCCATATTTGGCCTTGTAATACGCCCCCCTCCCCGACATTGACATGGTGCGAATAACTGTCAGCCACCGCCTGTCTGATGAAAAGGGTGGTGTGAACAGGGGTGTCGCTGGGAACCTTTTGTGTGGGAGCCTGTGGACCAAGTGGAAGGCAGGTGAGAATGCTGATGTCCTGCGGCAGGTTGCCAATGCTGCTTGCATAAAGCGCAAAGGATAGCAGGGTGGATCCAAGGGGGGCAACTAATAGACGATGCCGTAAGTATCGCCTAAAAGATTGCAGAGAAAGAGTGATCCGGCCCCTCAGTGCTCACAAGCTCAGACGAGCACCTAAAACTCCAATCTGCCCGCCTTTCTTCCACTGCCAGAGCTCTGCACAGTTCTGCATTGAGTGGAACGTGGATCAGCACTCTGCAAAAGATAAGTTGGGTTGGTTGTAACCATGTGATCTTATATAGGGGTACGTTTTTTAACCCAAGTTTACCAGACTACCCGGAGGTCATCCGCCTTACAAGTTACATAACCCACTGCTGTTCCAAACTTGGTCAAGATTTTGTCGAGCTGCACAAAACCCCTTCAGGAGTTCGAAATGCATCTGCCAGTGGCAGTGGTGTTGTTGACATCAACGTGAACGAACAGCGCCTGCAGGAAGGTTGGAGGATGCTGCATTTCCTCTAGAAGCAGTCATGGCGTTGGCAAGAGCCGCTGATGTGAGTTGCAGGGTCCAATGCAGCAATTGTCACAGCTTTTCGAGGACCAGAGAGGACGTCTCTTCTTCATTGTCTCGGAAGGCACCCGCGTTGCAAACACGTCGTCCGACAGGAGGCTTTGCAAAAGAAAAGTGGAATTGTCGACAAAGATGTTTCGGAAACTTCCAAGTGCTCAACGCAGGATCATCGACTCTGGGGTTGAGTGCACTTTTGAGACGTCTTGAAGGAACAAGCAACGGAAGGTTGCCTAGAGGAAGGTCGAGCAGACGGCTTGTGAAGGTTCAATGCAGTGGCGGGAAGGAAGAGGAAAAAAAGACAAATGTGGAAGACAATGGTGGGAAAGGGGTGGCGACAATCACTGAAGAGAAAGAACCAAAGGCGGTGAGTTGCCCTTTTACTCAAACTGTAGAATGATGTATGGTCATTCTCGGATTATGAGAACTCTATGACATATTAGAGGTACATGCCAACAAGATTGTGATGCTCGGTGTGTGCAGTACGTACATAATCCTTGAAGGTAGTGGCTTGTGCTGGCTGAGGCTCCACTCCAAAAGTCTCCCCTTATATCGATGCTCTTGCATCAGTCGCTGGTCATGGGTTCATTCTTTTTGACTTTCAAGGATGTAGTTCGCCTTCCTACTATATCGCTCTCGGTATTCCCATTCTGTGGGTGCCAATCGCCCCTTCCAGGATCAACTTTCATACGGACAGAAGATCTCAAGCAACAACTCTCAGTGCAGCAGAGCTAGAAAGAATTGCCAAATGCACATTTGGCTCAATTTCATTCCCCAGGACGAGAAGAGCAGCGCCACCGATTCAAGCCTACAAACAGACGCAAGCAAGGAGAGTAAAGCGAGCAAGGAGGCCACGACCACTAGTGATGCTGAAAAGGGCAAAGAGAAGGAGCCGCTCTCTTTGCAAGATGCGATTCGGCTGGACGCGTTCAACGTCTTAGAGCTGCTGGGGCCAGAGAAGGTGTATCCAAAGGATGTCAAGCTGCTCAAAGAAAAGGTTAGTGTCTCTTGATACATAGAGTGACCTTGTCAAGCTGCCGGGAAAAGTAGTGTCAATCATCTCAGAGAGAGGGAGATATGCGTCCATATGAGTCGGACAGGTGATGGCAAGGTGTGTTTGTCAATTCAGGATCCACTTACGCTGGTCTTAGTATGGTCCTCATGGAATTGAATCAACCCCTGGAGCATTTGTGATCAGGCTACGGCCTGATGATGTCCAATCTATCGAACCTATACTTCCAGTTTTCCTGCATCGTGCAGGCGTCCACGATTTCTTGAATCGTCTTTATGCTTCATCCAATCCTTGCATCAATCTCAGAACCATGTCTAAGACCCTCAGTCCTGCTGTAATTTTGCTGACGGCTTGAAGGATTCCCCTCTCAGGTCTTTGGTTACACCACCTTTTGGGTGACCAAGACGGAACCGACCGGCGAATTTGGCGAAGGAACCGTCTTCATTGGAAACCTGCGCGGAGAAAGGAGCCAGGTGTATGCGAAGCTGAGGGCGGGGGTGCAAGAACTGTTTGGTTCCGAGAAGTACGATCTGTTTATGGTCGAAGAGGAGGACGCAGAGGGGGAGGATGCGAGGGGAGGGCCGCGCGTCAGCTTCAAGTTGTTCCGAAAGGAGGTGAGGGCAACCCGGACGGAGGGCTGACACCTGAGGACTCCGGATTTTGTTTGGAGTTGTGGTTCCTCGCACAATTTCTTCGACTTGTAGAAGAAGGATGAGTGGTGTGTACGAACATGAAGGACAGAGGCAGTAGCACAACACTTGAGATCTGCTCAAGTGCTAGTAGCGTTCCGAAAAGTTGTATACTACAATCGGGTTTTGCTAATATGTGTAACTCGAAGGTCGGAAACGACAGGCAGACTTTTAAGGGGTGGGTTCCACTCATGGCGACTGGCAGCTGGGCTCGTATTCACGAGACCGGAAGCTGTCAGGACCTGTGAAACTCCGCTTCTGCCGCATCACCAGACAAGCGAGCCTTGCCAGCCAAAAAGCACATTTCTAATCACGAGTGCATTCACACCGCGTAGGTCAACGCGCCTGCCCCTACCAGCGTTTGGCAGTACCTTGTGGCGGCGGTGTTGCTTATTCTGACGGGGGGGGCGTGCTTAGAGGTTGGGTTGGCCAGCCAGGTAAGCCTCTTTCTCGCAAAGATGCCCCGTTGCTAGTTTCCTTCTGTCGCTAATGGATGTTGACCATATGGTCGTGTTCAAAACCAAACTCTTTGAGCAACTTCAGCTTTGCTGTGTCAAACTTGAAAGTCAGCTTCGACTCCCTGAAAGACTTGAAATATGTTGTTTGAACACCGTCATTCCGTCAAAACCTATCGCTGCACCGACGCTTGTGAACAGTCGCTGAGGAGATTTCAAGGCGTCACATGCGTATGCTTCTTGAACGAAAGGTCGGCACGCTCGGCATGGACGCCGCAGACACCCCCGCGATCCTCAGCAGAGCACGCAAAGCGCTGACTTTCGCAGATATTCTCGATATCATGTCCAGCAGAGCCTTTCCGCTAAACATCGCGTTTAGGGACAGTAACGAAATTTGAAACCTAAACCGTAAATCGTATGTTTCATGCCCGTATCCACCCTAAACCTCAAACCGGCCCTACCCTTTCCCCTGGCAGTTCGGTTTATCGAGATAGCCTCTTGTCAACGTTAATCCGAGAGAAATACTTTTGCAGGTGTCCCGGCTACCGCCCGAGGTCGTTGCTTACTTTTCCAACCCGGACGTCGATGTCGGCAACCCCCCGGAGTTGGAGCAACTGCTGCCCTTCGTGGAGTCGGCCCTCCCGCTTGCGTACGGCGTCTTTGGAGTGCAAGCCTTCCACGTGAGCACCGTTCTCTCGGCCCTTTCCAAGCAGCACGTTTAATGGGAAGCAGCTAAGAAGATGACTCTGGTGTGGAAGGCGTGGCTGCAGGCAAAGTTGGAAACTCTTAGAACACCTGCTGTGCCGTATCTGATGGAGTGGTTTTATCCAGAGGATTTTGGATCAAAGCCCCGGTTAATGATCACAAACCTTGTTTCACAGCGACAGCGGGGGGCTTTGATTATAGCCTTTGCGCAAGCTTGCCAACAAGTCCGGCGTGATATGACGTCTATTCGTCAATTGTGGCTTTCCTATGCTAGCCCCTGCCTGTCTGCAATCCTGAGAGGTCTGAGCTCCCTAAACCATCTGCCGATGGGGCTGCAGACGTTGTAGTGATACAATCCCCCTCACATGAATCGATCCCTTGAACTACTTCCAGAACGCCCCTGGGAACTTTTTCAGCAGTTTCCCCGCCGGAGCCCCTTGAAAATGCAAAATCATAGCTCGTTTCGAGTACTCTTAAAACACTAGAACAACAACCGGAAGTAACACGATCTTCCATTCCGCAGGAGGTCGGCCATTGGCTAGCGGCGTCAGCCAAGAAGGTCAAGCTCAGCATTCCCTTCCTGATACCCAGCCCCACGCTCGGCAGCTTTGGCGCCGTCACGCAGGCAAGTGGATCAACCGCAATGCTTTTGGCGGAAGCTGTTCCTTCACGTTTCGATGTCCCCTTTCGTATTCTCTTCGCTGGGGAGCCCCATACGACCGGCGTCCTTATGTCATGCACTGACGGCTTATTGCAGACACCGTGTGGACACCTCTGCTTTCAATGTTGTTCCGCTTCCGACTTGCCCTGCAATGGCCTGGGGGGCCTGCATGCTATCTTATTGCACATTCGGTCAAACCTGGCCGCCTGACCCGAGTCCGATTCCAGCCGATCGCAGAAAACTTGAAAAGCGCAAAACTTGAACCCTTCGATCACCGGGATGCTACGATCGAACGGCCCAAGGTTCTGCCGGTTCGACCGAATTGTGCAATCGGTTCCGATCGAACTTCGGTCAGGCGGCCAGGTTTGACCGAATGTGCAATAGCTGACCATTTTGGAAAGTTCCCAACTTTGCCATCCCCATTAGCTTTCTCATCCGGATGCATCAGTGCGTGTCAGGTACGACGAGCACACTTAACTCCGAAGTGGACGAAAAGAGTACAGCAGTTCTGCATTTCCAGATTATATTGTCGACCCGAACCACGGCCCTGCGCATTGCCCGAAAAGATTTGACGAGACGGACACAAAGAGGCATGACTTTGCACCGCCAGTTTCGATTTCGTAATGTACGCGTTGGATCACGTTGATTTCCACGGCCTCAAGTGCTAGTTTCTTAAACGACACCCCAAAAGGGACGTCGCAAAGTGTCTGGATCCAAACCGAGAGGAAAAGTTAAGGCGAATTGAACGTTCCCTCTCTCGCACTTCGAGTCCTAAGTGCCGTCGAAATGCTGCCGGTATAAAGCAAACGGAAAGAAAAGCTTACCCACTTCTACTCCCTCGCGCAGTTCAAGTCCCTCGTTCCTGACCGGACGTCCAAGTTCGACATTGCGGTGTCCGGTCCTCTGGCGGGCGCCCTCTTCTCCCTTTCCCTGGTCGCTCTCGGCCTGACGCTCTCCGATCCGGCCAGCCCCGACCTGGTGCAAGTTCCCGCGCAGCTCTTTGAGGGGTCGCTTCTGCTCGGGCTCATCTCCCGGGCGGCCCTCGGGTTCGAGTGAGTCTGATGCGCACCGACGTCCTTGCCGCTATGGTTGCTGGTTCGAGATCGCGAAGTGTTGAGCTTCGACCCAGGGACCTAGGAGGATCTGGTGCAATGCTTGGCGAGGGATCCCCTTCTTCTCGAGCCTGTGCCCCCAGCACTTTGTTGCTTTTCCGCAATTCGAAGGTTCGCTGCTAACCGGGCTCAATACTTGGGCTGTCAATCTGGATCACGGTCTGCGGCGACTGGTTTTGCTTCATGTCCGCGACACTGTGCTCAGAACGGGGGCAAATCTTTGAGGAGTCGCACGGGACGGCAGAGGCGCGAGCTAGAGGCACCACAAGCAACTGCTTCGGACGTTTGTCGAACCGCTTGTGCACATCTCTCTTGTTCGTTTCAACGCTGCATTTGGCCCGCACACAAACTCACGAAACAAGTCACTTGCTGCTCGTTTCATCGTCAAACTGGTTCTGTCGATAAAGCTGGTGCGGCTTTTCACACCCGTCGCTCTGCCCTGCAGAGCAATGCACCGGGCGAACGTGTCAATACACCCGCTCGTGATTGCCGGCTGGTGTGGTTTCACCACCCAAGTGTTCAATATGCTGCCGGCCGGACGGATAGACGGGGGTCGAGCTGTGCAGGTAAACGACCGAGCTACAAAGGTCCTATCTTCGCACACAAGGGTCTGTGCTTGGCATCAGTTGTGAACGGTCTGGTTGGGAAGTGTCTGAATGACTCAGGGACGCTGATGTTTGCCAGCGCTGCCAGAGGAGGTTGCATGGATGTGACCATTCTAAAGGGCCCTGCTCGTTTGCAAGGACGAGATCCCTATTTCTACCCGCTATAGTCTTTTTTGTAATGCCCACCGCTTGCCCTGTCAGGGCAAGTCTGTATCGTCAAACCTGGGAAGAATGACGGGATAAAATCCCGTCTGAACCACAGCGCGTGCTTTTCCGCAGGCGGCCTTTGGGAAAGGGACGCTTGCGGTAACTAGTGTGGTGACATACCTGCTGCTGGGGCTGGGGCTGTTGGGCGGGGACTTGGCGCTGTCGTTCGGGCTGTATATACTCATTGTACAGGTGAGAAGATGACCATGGTGGAAATGTGCTGTGCCAAAAATCTGTGCCAAAAATCTCCTGCATAGCATTGAAGTCCTTGTTCCAGGACTACGGAACGTTCTAGAGTTGCCCGGCCGAGCTATTGTGCATATGCGTAGGAGAGGGGAAGGAGATCGAGGAGTTTTGCGCATGTCTTCCGCATCTGCAAGAAAGAATGATTACTTTTGGTGGCCCTTTCCGACGGCGGTTGATCATTCGATAGAGCTGGTATTCTTGTCGTTCGACATAGCGTTCGACATGGCAGCTCGTGACTGCTCCGCAGCTTAGCTTGATTGTGTCTCAGCATGCGGGGCTCTGACTCTGGTTGCGACATCAGCAGATACCTCCTGAAGCTTGAAGCCAAAGCTTTGGGACGGGTTGTGCAGATTGCTAGCTTTCCTTTCGCCGCTCATCTCATTTCACTCACATGCAGCGACGAGCGGAGAAGCCTTGCTTGGATGATGTAACAGACGTTGGAAAGGTACGACGAGGGCTCCATTTAGCCGCTCTAGCAGTGTGTCTCGTCACGTTGCTCCCGGTCTTCCCACAGATGGCAGAGGACCTCGGCATAGGTATCAATCACATGGTTATGTGATAATTCCTGAGGTCAAGAGCCTCTATTCGAAACTGGCAGTACGCGGGTTGCGCCCATGTTGTTTCAGATTTGCAATTGCGGATGTGTTATGGTGAGGATTCCAAGCCTGCGGGCGTACATCGATGGGCCCCAACATTGAGCACATGCATCCAACCGTTATGTTGATGGGGTTGAGTCAATACTAGTTGACTTAGAATAAGTAAGAGGGTTTCAGGGCAATCATGCAGAAAATTTCCGACTTGGATGCCGCCCCGGGCCTACCGTACATCACTACCGTAAGATACTGGTAAGATTTGAGCATCATTCACAGCAGCTTGGACTTTTGTAAGGGCTGCACACGAGCTTGCCGACATGCAATTGACACATGGTATGCCTATGATTATCACATGTCAGGAATCCGAAGCTGGGCGGCAGCAAGTGACGATGCGTATAACTTATCGAATCACTTAGCCGCGTGGATGCAATTAGTTTAGAGCTGCCGCCCATGTTGCTCGATCGAGATGACAATGATCTGGCCGCCGCCGCAGCTGGCAAAATTTACGTACAAACTTTAAGCGTCTATATTTGTTTCAATGGCTTGATCATAATCAGTGCGCAGCTACCGTGTTATGAAATCTTGTATAAGACGCGACCATGCGTATATAACATATAGCTAATGTGCATTGCATATACTATATCTTCAGAGCTGCAATTTGCATGGCGGCAGCGGCGTGGCGAACCCGCGCATTTGAGTCTGGGTTCTATTTTGATGGGTGCAGAACCTTTCTAAACCTGTCAACCGAATCGATCTCGTGTATTGTCAAAGCGAGCCATGGGTACGGGGCCCCAATGAGGTTTCAAGGAGTAAGCGCATTGTTTCAAAAAACTGCTTTGGTCATGAGGCTTCGTCCTGACAACATGCCAAGGGTTGGAAGAACAGTTCAACCGTTCACTTGACATCAAAGTGAAACGCTTTCTCAAGGGGCAAGTATACAAGGCAGCTGGATTGCCACCAGAACATGTAGGATACATTGAACAATGTCAAGGCAACCAAACCTAACCAGGGTTCTGGAAGATTACAAGGCTTGAACGATCCTAAATTAGCTGGAAGGCTGAGAATAGCCCCGTGACAGATCGATACTTCCAACGAAACGTTTCTATTCCGCCATGTCCTCAGCCTGCTGTTGATGGTACTTGTCTAGCTCTGCGTCAAGTTCTGCGGAGAAAAAGACCAGTCAGGGGCTGAAGTAGACTAGGCGGAAAAAGAGGGTAGTCAGAGGGTTGGTATAAACAAGGCCACTCTGCCCAGACTGGATTTGCGAACAGCAGGGGCCCCAAATGATTTGGGAGCATAATCTGTCAATCACAAAAAGGCAGCAGCAAGAAGGTCGCTTTATATCGCTGACCCTAAAGGGACAGTGTAAGCAGTTCGAGTAGATATGATCCAGGTGACAAAGCTCTGAATCCTCATTTTGAGAAACCACAGTAGGGAAGCTCTCGATTGACACTCCACCAGCTTTGACGAGGTTAAGCAACAGCGAAACTTCCACGTTAAGGGACAAACATCCCGCCAAACCCAGCTTGTAATGGAACCAATAACCACTTCTCTCATGCAAGTTTCAGATCTGTTTCTCGGTAGTGGCACATAGAGTAGACAAGTGATTTGTACCCGAACTCACCCTTTTGGATCTCCGCGGGGTCCCGAGTATCCTGGGGCTTGGCTCCCCGCCCCCCTCGGCCGCCCCGCGCCGCGCCTCCCCGGCCCCTAGGATTCCTGCCACCTCGTGCAACATACGTGCCCCGACCTCGCATAGGGAAGCTGCAAAGATGCGGCAGGCAGCATGGTCAAACGGAAGAATCCATCCAATGATGCATCGCGCAAAGAAAGGAATAGTTCGGAAACGTAGGCCCTGCCTAGATAGGCAGGCAGTTGACAGAGTTGTTCCGGTATTCTGTCGTGATTTGCTCTGGGTAAGGATGAGGCCCACTAACAACCCTGGCTGTGAAATGGTGCGGAGATGCATCGAAGGTGCTGATTGCAAGAGAAACGCAAGGAAAGTTGCTCACCCTCTGCCAGCGAATCCGCCACCCCGCCCAAACTCCTGCCCCGGGCTGCAAGCAGATATAAGACATGAGCACCTTCAGAAACAAACTTTGTCAAGCAGAACTTTTTAACCATATCTAAAATATGCTCATCATTGGCCAGCACAGACAAGGGGCGTGAGGTTGCAAGTAGTGCGGCTTTTGCAAGTCACAGCAGAGATGGGGCATACTGGCACTACTGCAAACATCTCTTCAGTTGACAAAAGCGTGCAGGCAGGCCTACGACATATGCTGATGATATAATGCAAACAAAACGTCAATACACAAGTGGCTGCAATTTGCCTGACAGCTCTGGGATATGCAAAGCTACCGTGCAGCATAAAAGAAGAACCACTGTCATAAGCAAACCGGGAACTGCAAACTTGGTGGATGGAAACAGCACTTTACCGCCGCGAGCAAGCTCCAATTGCGAGCCACTCGTTTCAGGCAATCTTAACTTGTCATGTTTAGATGACATTTGATGACAAGGAAGAAGAATAACAGTAAGTCTCTCAAAATCCCATTAGCGAAAACATGACCAGGATGAGGAGAGAAACGTACGCCACAGTGCGCGCCGCAACCGCAATCCGGGGGAGGTTGGTCCCAACAATTTCAATCTTCATCGGTTTCCCGTCGAGTGCGACTCCGTCATACCGCGTGACGGCCTTCATTGCATCCTGCTTCCTGGCAAAGACCACCTCCGCAGTGCCCTGTATGAGGCAACGTGGAGATTAAGATCAGCGCAAGGAGTAAGCATTTGTAAGCAAATATACCTGTCCTGCTCTCTATACCTGTTCTGTTCTTGCCGGACTTTAGGGTTCCTCTCAAAACAGAGAAGGCAAAGGGTTCGGTGACTTTTCTCGAGACATCAGTTAGAATGGCTCAAAGAAGCCGAACCACGATACGACTGGTAAACAAGCACATCCAGATGCCAATCCAGAATTGGGACTCCTGTTCTTCGCCTGCCGGCTTTTCGAACGACCAGGAGGCAAGTTGAGTGCCACAAACAATACCACTCCTGATGATCCACTTGAAAGCTGCTAACGTTGAATGTCTGGCGAACATACTTTGAAATACAATCCAATGACTTCAAAATCTGCAGACAGGCATTCCCAGATCCCATCCCAATGAGTACAGAACCCTAATTCGCTCCTCGTGTGTCACCATCCAAGAAAGACGCGATTTGCACTCTGGCTAAGGTGCTAAACACACCTTTGAGCGTCCGCTCTTGTCGAAGTTGATCTCACTCCGCTTCAGGTCGCCGAGCTCGCCGAAGAGCTCCTGCACCAAAAACCAAAAGTCGTCACCATCGCTGCCAAAGCAATCAGCTTGATAGTAAAGATGAGCATTCCTCTCGCGGCTGCTGGAGCGCATTTGCTAATTACTTTACCAACAATTGCGAGAAACAAGAAGGTCGTTGATGTGACGGAGCAACAAACTATCTCGAAACCACGGCAGGTTCAATTACCGCCGACTCTTTGCTTGCTCGAAGAGAAAACCAGTGTTCAATTCAGAACCCATCATTGTGGCAAGGATGGAAATCTTCCAAGATACAGCAGATACCACGTCGTAAGTGCGCGCAGATTGGAAAAGATACCATGATTGAGGGAGTGCTCAGTACCTTGACATCATCGTTAGAAACATTGTAGTCGAGGTTGGAAATAAAAAGCTTGGTCCCTGTCTGGATCTCCATTGGCCTCGCTCCCGGAGCATATGCTGGTCCCTCCTGGTATAGGTCATGAGCCCACACGTCTCCGGCAGGTGCAGCAGGCTGGTTGAACAAAACAGAGCAGCACTCGTTTCAGAAGGACAGATCTGGTTAGTCTGAGCACCGACACCGCAAACGCCTCCTGCAGGAACATTTTGGGTGGACTCCCCAGCAGGCTCGCTCTTCCACAGCCCCCTCTTCTCCAGGTCCAAAGGGTCCAGGTAATTGCTGGGAAGAGTGTCCTCTGGTCACCATGAACCCCGTCTCTCAAATCCAAAGAGCCAAGTCCGGCACAGGCCTACAGGCTAAGCAGAGGTGCTGACAAGAACACCACGTGCTTTTGTCCGTGCCGTGCACCGTGCTGTCCCTTTGGTGCTTGTTGCATCCACCCCTTGATCTGTTGGGAGCTCCAAATGTCTCTGATCAAAAGCAGGCTAATCGCTCAGTCTGCCTAAGCCCTTGGCGCAGGAACGATGCAAACTCATGTGACGACCACTACCAACTAGTGTTACGATTTAGACGAATCAGTGCCCTCGCAGAGTCTTGTCAACTACCTACTCTGTACTAATCTGTAGCTTGCCGGGGAACAGAGTCAATGAAGGTGCAAAAAGGGATGGTTCCAATCTGAAGCAGACCCGAAGAAGCTGAATGAATACTGGAGGTCCTCGGAGCCGGGCTTTGCAGGGCACCGTTCCCCAAACGCCGACAATATGTTGCTCGAGTCCGCTGGCTTCTGCTGACCTGTCTAGCATAAGGGGCCGCCCGAAAAGCTGCGCGAGTGTTTGCCCTCCTGACAGGGCCCGACCGTCCCCCACCATAAGGATTGTCTGTTCCTGTCCTGCCCGCCCCCCCTCTTCCTCCACCCCTGCCGCCCCGTGCGCCGCCCCGCGCTCCAGTCTTGTTCTTCTTGATCAGGTCATCCAGAGACACGTCCAGGTTCGACATCGTTCTTGGACTGCAGCTCGCTAGGACGAGTGACCCCTGTTGACTAGGGAGAAGCTTTCGACAGCCCAAGAAACAGCGCTCTGATCGCTCTACTTCGATTTCTTGCTGCTTCAAACTTGTGATCAGAATCGAAGTGCTCGAGCTCGACTTCAAGTTCAAGTTCTTCCTGGCTAAATTGAGCCGCGGTACGCACCATACACTAGCAATACGTACCTTCCTTTCCGAATGCTGGCTCCAGGAACCAGAGTCAGCAGGTTTGAACCGTAGACGGTGGTAAGTACCGTATGCTGGGTAACGTCGGTACCTAGTTAGTGAGTCAGTAGCCAGTACTACCGGTACGCCGGTACCCTCAGGATCAGCTCCTGTCAGTGTCTCGAGATTCAGGTACCGTATCACCAGTCCGGTCCTGGTACATACCGGTTGTACTAACCCGGACTACCTAAGTACCTACCTAGGTACATGTGTCAGTACCAACCGTGCTTCCATTGTGAAGCTGAATAAAACGGATACCGGTAACTCTCGCGTGACCTAACGGGCGTGTGACTTAAGATACGAGCTACCCGGGCACTTCAAACTAAAAACCTAACCCGAGTAATCACCTGCTCCGCACCCCAACCCACCCTAACCACCATACCAACCCCACCCGTCCCCCGGGTACTTATCTTAGGTCACACGGCTCTTAGGTCACACGAGAGTTATCGGAGTATAAAACGGTCGGCGGTGCCAATGCGGAGTTGCTGGTACGCACCTGCTATCGTATGCTGCGGCGTATGACCGGCCAAGGCTGCACCGGTCTTGCAAAGCAGAAGATGGAGCTCGGGGAACGTCACTGCCACTTCGGTCTCTTTGCGACACAAGCGCAAAGGGGCACGGTTTACAGTCCCCATGTGACGCCAGTAGGACCGGTCCTGCAAGTTGCGACTTCAGGACTGGAACGGTACTAGGTAGTAGGTAGGTACCGTACTTAGACTTGCACGGCCCAGGGGGCACCAATTTGGCAGGTAACATGCAGTTCGCTCCGCCAACTTTGCAGTGTGCGGCAAACGGACTCCCTGGGCGGCGCCGGAGCCAACTCTGCTAGGTACATGCTACACATGGGCGTCGAACTTCGCCATACCGGTACCTCTGTGGCGTTGCCCAGCGCTGCCCATTTGTCAAGAACCTCTGGAGCGAAGTTCTGGCGAGTCAGAAATTGGGAGTCGGGACTGCGTCGTGCGATTCAAACGATATCGGACGGATCTGAATGTCCCAAATCTTTCTCATTCGAGATCTGTACGGATATCCGGGTGACGTTTGATATCAGGTAGCTTGGATGTCGCCCGGATATTTTGTAATCACCGGGCACCAAATGTTCAGCCGGTCTGTAAAACCGGCTCTATGACACGGGCATTGGTTTCTCTTCGGCCCCTCGAAACTTGCCGCCCGGTGAGCCGTAGTTGTGCATCCGGTGGCTCCCTTCCAACATCCAGATTCCACGGTGGCAAAAAGCACAAACTGAGCATCACAAAAGCGCAGCTCACGAATCACGATCTTATTTTCAGTGGTGCAGGTGACACCCGCGCCGTACGCTGTACCGTACGGTTCAAAGGTACCCCTCCGAGGCCCGGTAACCACCGGTAGGTACCTGTCAAGTCATGATGATTGGTACCAGAATGCCACGCGCAACTTGACATGACACCCACCACAGTCAGAGAATTGGCACACAGGCGAAGAGGGAGGAGAAAGGCGCACTTTTCTACCCTGCGCTCGGGCGTCCACTTGTCTTCTGCTTGGTCCTTGTCAGGTAGTTGTACATAGCAGTGGCGCTGTCAGACGGTGGCGGTGCTTTAAGGTAGTCACGGCGGCCCACATCCATCATGTGATTGCGTTGTCTTGACCCTTATGTTGGGTGGTTTGAGGAGTGAATGGGTTTAGCCCGGTACGCGGGGCAGCGAGCATGGGAAAGTGACCAGGTTTTGTAGAAATGCTTGAGCAGTTTTAGCCAACGCACGGGAGTTGTCAATTGTCATCACCTTGTGGTTAGTAAAATGGAACCTGTTACAGTTGTGTGGTTTAGGAGAGATTTGCGGTTGGAGGACAACCCAGCCCTGATATCAGCGGCACGGATGGGTACAGTGGTTCCTGTGTTCATCTGGGCACCTGAGGAAGAGGGGCAGTTTCAACCAGGCAGGTGCTCGCGTTGGTGGTTAAAGCAGAGTTTGTTGCACCTGGATGTGACTCTGCAGAAAATGGGGGCGCCGCTCATACTCAGGAGGTGTGCAGACAGCGCTACAATGCTGCTGGATATTGTGAAAGAGACAGGAGCAACGCAGGTCTTCTACAACCATCTGTATGGTAAGTCCACCAGAGGGATAATCATGCAAGCATTACCAACATAGACGTGCTTGCTATTTGACCGAGCTGATAAGGTTCAGGATTACGACTTTTATCTTTCCTTGCTGCTGATGTGGACCACATTATCTGGGGACAGGTGCCACTGGCATGCCTTAGATACTGTTTTCTGCAGTGCGGTTGTGCATGTTTCTTATGCACCCACCATTTCAGCAGCATCAGCACCTGACGATCAACAAAAGCAAGTAGGGACACAGGCAAAGCCGAGGTACAACGAGCAGTATGTTGGCAGACTAGGCATAGGCATAGAACCTGAGCTACAGCAGCAACTGGTGAAATTTCAAGCACATCAACAGCATGGCCAAAAGCGGAAAAGAGACGAAATCAGTCATAATGTGTGCATATGGAAAAAACGTTACAAGCCAGTCTTGCCCGACCAGCGTACGGGAAGGGCTTGGGAAGCTTGGTTCGCTATCTGAAGATGTTGGATGGCCCTTTCACCTGGCCAGCGCTTTTTGAATTTTCGGGCCTCGTCTTTCTTGTTGGAGAAAATCAATAGTCCCATTGTCTGATGGCTCATAGCAACTGTGCTCTTTTCCAGCCTGGGGTTTGCACAGAAGAACGTAGTGAACTCTGTTGCTTATGCGTGAGGTCCATGAAATCTTCTTAGTTGTTTTGTGCTCTTCTATGGTTGATGAGCTTGTATATCTGCAATGATCAGCCTGTGACCTCTCTGTGCCGGACGGTGCCAACACAATTTCCAGATTGTTACGGATTTCTTGGTTTCTCTGATAATGTTGATACTCATGTGCAGCTTCTGCTGCGACATCTTTATTGATACTCTTGTGCAGCTTCTGCTATCACATCTTTACTTTGCAAGGCTTAGGGCTCTTGACGCAGTGCTTTGGCAGGCGGCATGCTCTCGTTGCACTCTTTCACTTATGCTTGTCGACTGCAGAATAGCGACACTCTTGGTCCTAGTCGTATTCTGAGAATGCTACTTCTGCTCCTCCTTTGCCTGGTATGCACATCAATCTGCACTTGCTGCTTATCTTCATTTCTGGTTGGTACAAGGTGGCCCTTATGCCATAGTTTGCACTATCCTTTGAAACAAAGGTACAGGTTGATGCAAAAGGGTGCAGCCGGAAGCCTTTCCTAACGTTTGCCACCTTTGACAAAGTTGTGGCTCTGGGTGCAAGCTTTGCTCTTCACTGCCTTACTAAGCGTGTTGCAACGCCATAGATTTTGGTTTTTGCTGGGGTTCTCAATGTCTGTTCCATAGTCTTGACATGGTTCCTTCTGGCTCTCTTCTGGTCCCCCTTTCGCCTTCAGCAACCCACTGCTTTCTGCAAAACACTTTGAGGGCGGTTGGCTCGAAAGGTTTTTGAGACTTCTCTGAGTGTTGTTGTATCACGTGGACCGCCTCTCTTGGGGCAACTTGGCTCAATCCAGTCATTTTGCTGGTTGCTTGCATGATCATGTTGTGGCGCTCACCATGTCCGACGTTCTGCCAGCAAGTTTGCAAGTGTTTGGGCCAGTTCCAGCATCATCTCTCTTGAAGCACTGCTTTTCTCGACAATTTTACTCTCAGCAAACATGTCACAAGCTCACTTTACAGGGCCTCTTGGTTCATTGACGCGCATTGCTGACATGGACTTCTGTTTGTCTTCTTCAGACCCGGTCTCCCTAGTCCGCGACCACAGAGTGAAGCAGAGCCTTGTACAACACGGTGTCGTTGTCCACACATTCAACGCAGACCTTCTGTACGAGCCCTGGGAAGTGTACGATGAGCAGGGGCATCCGTTCACGGTGTTTGAGAACTACTGGAATAAGTGCTTGAACATGCCGTTCGAGCCAGACGCGCCGCTGCTGGCGCCAAAGAAGCTGAGCGGGATTGAGAGTGAGTGCATCCGCGCTGCTTCCTTCTCCTTGTTGCTTCGTGCGTTGTTTGAAGCACAAAATGTCGGTACTGCTACAATTGCTCTCTTCGCATGAGTATTTTGACTGTGAAGTACCACCCAAGAAGAAGACCGAAGCAAGAGCATTCTTGCTTGTTGATAAAGTGCCCCTTCTGAGCTGCATTCATGTGCCCATGTCCTCTAGCTTCTCCCCATAGGCTAGGAGGGTGCGCTCCAGTATCGGGTGTAGGATGCCCTGTGCAGTGACCAAAGGGTGGTTTGCATTCAATGAAAAGAGAGGGCACATATGAAACAAGGGCTCTTAGAAACATCCATCACTCCATACATCGGTCACTGCAATTCCAACTGGCTCAAAGCTGCCCGCTGTCTGCAGTTGAAGTCCCCAGCTTGTCCCTGGATGGCATTGGCCTGGAGGACCCTCTCGAGGCGAGCAGCAACTCTCTGCTGGCACGGGCATGGGCCCCTGGCTGGAGCAACGCAGACCGTGCGCTGGAGTCGTTCCTCAGGGGGGCGCTCGCTTCGTATGCAACTGCCAGGACCAAGACTGACACTACCACAACCAGCCTGCTTTCGCCTCACTTACACTTTGGGGAGGTGAGATTGACCACCTTCCGGTCAGACCCTCTCATCTCCGGTCCGGTGGCGTTATGTGCGGGCGCACAGCTTGCCCTCAGTCCAGTGTCAACTTGTCGTCCATGGTTCGTTTGGGCTGTCTGGTTACACTCTGCTGCCGTCCTCCTACCTTGCTGCATAAAGGTTGCAGCAATGCTTGTCTATGAAGGCCAGTCAAACTTGGTTTTGGAGACACCCCAACATAGATTCTCATATGGATTTGCAATGCGGGTAACTTTCGGGCTTCTGTCCTGTAGTATCCTGAGCCGTGCACTTGGGCCATAACCCACAGTCGTTTTTGTCCCTGCGTGATTGAATCAAGGACCTAAGGCCCTGCTTCTGCATTTGATCCAACTCGTCTTACCATATGCTCTCCCCTCATCACCATATGCTCTCCCCCCTGCAGCTGAGCGTGCGCAAGATCTTCCACGAGAGCCGCAAGCTGCAGCTGCTCTGGAGCCGCGATGGTGCCAGCGTCGCGGTGACTAGCGTGGACCTTTTTCTGCGCTCCATCGGGCTGCGCGAGTACTCGCGCTACCTCAGCTTCAACTTCCCCTTCACGCACGAGCGGTCTCTGCTGGCCAATCTCAAGTCGTTCCCCTGGGCCATCGACGAGAAGGCGTTCAAGGCCTGGCGCCAGGGGCGCACCGGGTAAGCCCGCTGACGTCATCTGGTGTTGGCCTGAATTCCAGAATGTAGTAAAGAATCTACCTGCTGCATTGTGGCCTTCCGTTGCCTGATGGCACTGTCAAAGTTTTGGAGTTTACAACTGCTGGAACGTAAGCTGTTGATCACTTTGTTCTTGAATATGTGTGAAGCTTCTAAGCTCCAAAGTTTGAGTATGTTCTGGATCGTCACCATGTAGTCCTTGTTATTTGCAGCAAGGGACGGGTCATTCTCTGCTCTAGGGTCATTGCCAACTCGCTTTTGGTTTGGTAACTGTATTATTGCTCGGTGTCTCTCTCAAATATCATTGCTTCTTGCCGTTTTGCTCTTGTTTCTGCACGAGTCTGCATCAAGAAGCACGAACAACCTCCCTGATTGGTGCCTCTCCTCGCTCAGGTACCCCTTGGTCGATGCCGGCATGCGGGAGCTTTGGGCGACCGGCTGGCTGCACAACAAGATACGGGTGGTCGCCTCCAGCTTCTGCGTCAAGTTCCTGCAGCTCCCGTGGCGGTGGGGCATGAAGTATTTCTGGGACACGTTACTGGACGCGGATCTTGAGAGTGACGTCCTTGGCTGGCAGTACATCTCTGGCAGCCTGCCGGACGGCCACGAGCTTGATCGGATGGAGAACCCGCATGTGAGTACATACGCTGCACTCACAGGACTTGGTAGAGCAAAAGAGATTATTTGTAATTCCCGGCCTTGGGCACAGGGTTTTAAACATCCAAGCTCAATCTGAATAGGTTCTGGCATCGCTCTCACAATCCTTCGTTTTCGAGGACGTTTGCTTCTTCCTCTCTTTAAGCTTTGACTGGGCATGAAACCTTTTTGCCAGCCTAGTGGAGCATCAGCAGGTCCAACCGAGCATACTCAAGACAAACGATCGACATCTTGCTTTCGAAAGACAGAAACCCCCTTGCATCATTCCGACCCCTAGCCTGTCTGTATATGGACCACTGGCTTCTAAATATCATTCACATGCTTCGCAGGGTGCCTTTAGAGAATGTAAACCGAAGCCCATGCTGAGCGAAAGTTGAGAGTGTTCTTCGCTTTTTCCCTCCCGGTTGAAGGCTACCGGTACGACCCTGAGGGCAAGTACGTCCGCTGGTGGCGCAAGTTCGTTCTGAGCATCCAGATCGAAGTCCCCGCTGAATACTAGACCGAAAGTGCTGCTTCCTTCCAGGTTGAGGGCTACAAGTACGACCCCGAGGGCGAGTACGTCCGCCGGTGGCTCCCCGAGCTGTCCCGGCTGCCCACCGAGTGGGTGCACCACCCCTGGGATGCGCCCAGTAACGTCCTCCGGGCGGCCGGTGTGGAGCTCGGGTCAAACTACCCCCAGCCCATCGTCGATGTCGAGGCCGCGCGGGAACGCCTGGCCGCGTCGCTGTCGGCAATGTGGGCGAGCGAGGCGGCGCTCAAGGCGGGGGGCTTGGAGGAGGGGCTTGGGGAGACCCCGGCAGTGGCGGTCGGAGCAGGTAGGGCTTGTTCAATAGTTTCGGTTGAGTTGGTGCTTTCGTTTGTCTACTTGTCAGGAGCCTGCAAGTGGTCTTTGTGGCTCTTTTGTATCTGACTTGTTGGCGGGTGACTCATCTTCTGAAGGAGACGCATCGGTCTGGTTGAAGGATGATTTGGGCAGTTTCTGGCGTCTGTTTGTGGTGCTCGTAGTCCTTTTCGTGCTCCTCTGAACGGATTGTCTCTTCAATGCACTTCGCTTTTGTCCGATCCAAGACTAAACTGTTGTCTTGAGTGCCTTCAGTATTGTCCTGAAAGTGGAATTTTTTTCACTGTGGCCTTCTGACTACTCCATCCTTCCTGGCCTCTGTCCGGTGTTGCCTGCCAAATCCCAGACTTGTGCAGCGGCATTAATGAGCATATTTAGATGGTCACGAAAGTGAGCAGTACGCGGGATGAGTCAACTCATTATCTGTGTGCACTGCTGTTTCAAGAAGAAACTCCCTTTCCAGCCTTTGGCGTCTTGGTTCATGGCGCTGTAACATTCTGTTTTTCGTATTTGTTGCCGGTGTCAAACGTTTTTCCTCCCCCAACTCCCGCAGGCATCTCCGGCTTTGGTCGCTCCAGCGCAGCGGGCAGCTCGCGGCGCGACCAAATGGTCCCCGACATGGCGCCCGCGCCGAGTCTGGCCGCAGAAGAAGCGGCGGCGCACATCTTGGGTCACCAGGAGGCTTATCAGCACGAGCTTTCTTCCCCCACTCCTCCAGAGAGGCTTGACGCCAGCTCGGCCGAGCGGCCAGTCGATCAAGCGCAGCCCCTGCCGGGCTTCCGAGAATTGAATCAGGTTTGTGCAATCATGAGGGCTGGTGGGTACGAGATTGACGTTTTGTTTTTAATGAAGCACATTGCACTTCAAGGGTCGTAGCTGAAGAAAAGTGTTTGTATGTTGTGCAATGTTGAGCCCAATTGCTTGAGACCAGATCTTGTTACCATCCAGATTAGTTCGCAAACGGAGTCTCGAGAACCACAATAGAAGATCAGGAACCACCTGTCACGATTCAAGATTCAGTCTTCGTTTTTGGCCTCAGCCGTTTGTCTCTAGCACTTCTGTTCGCCATGTCCTTCGCTGGCGAAACCCACGTGGTTCGCATCGTTATAGCCCGCTCTTGGCTTTATTTGGGGCGCCATGTAGTGTTGACCCGGTGTCAATCCGCTCCTTAACCCCGCAGGACGGTGCGGGCCTCATGCGGGAGCCCCAGCTGCCCCTCCGGCGAGGCTCCGAGAGCGACATTCTTTCCACCGCCGAGTCATCGTCCTACCCGCGCCCCAGCGAAGGGGGCGCGAACGCCCCCAAGGTGCCAGACCCGAAAAATAGCTGGCCGTACGCAAGTCCCGATCTGGCCTCGGGTTTACAGGCTGCCGCGGATGCAGCTAGGGCCCAAACTTACACAGGGATCCCCTTCAATAAAAAGCACCTGCTCGAACTACAGGTAAAGGGCTTGCACTTCGTGTCATTTGGCGTCAGGCTATGTTCATTTCTCGGGGCTTATGCAGTCAGTTCGAATGTTGAGACGCCCATGTGTTTACCCGCAGGTTGAGAGGGAAGCCTGCATATCAGTCCGGTTTCCACGCCCTGCATTGCCCAATGTATTTAACTGATGCAGTGACTGTAAAGTTTCTACCTGCAGTTTCATGTGCTGTTGTCGACGAAGCGTGTGAGTAGCCCGAGTATTTGTGTTTGGATCAGGTTGGGGATGCGAGGAGTGTGTGATTGACTGTTCGCTCGCATTTGCAGGATGGCACGCCGCTGGAAGATCCCTTGATGAAGCGATCCCGAATGCGACAGATGGCAAGCCCACCAATCCAAGGAGGGCGTTGAGCGAGGCAGGTTGTAGAGTTTAGTTGCGTCTTATTTTCTTTGGAACTAGAAGTCAAGGACGGGGGAGAGATATGGCACATGTTTTCTTTTGACCAAAGCTACAAGCGGAGCTTGCAATCAGCCTAGCGTTTGTTTCTAGGTGTCTCGATTAGTTGGCATGCATGTAAGGCGCAGGGGTAAGTGGGTGCTTGGTTGAGCATCAACCAGTAGCATTCTCAAGCATACCGTTGATTTAGTTGAGCCTCGGGGGATCTGCATGCGACTTCCAAAACAGCGTGAAAAACTGTGCTTAATAGTTTATCAGCCCGTAGAAGGTAGATGGGCTAAAGAAACGGGAATGTTTGGGTCGTAAAGTTGGAAGCTGGTCAAGCAGGTTGTTCGTTGACAGTTCCAAAGCTGCTGCTTTTCACCACGTTGTGGTCCTTCAAAAATCAAAAATCAACGTGCAAGATTAGAACTTCGTACGGTGTCTGGTTTGGAGAGGTACGATGGTACGCATGAAGTCCGATGCGTTAGAGGGGGCCGAACTCAGGGTATGTGTCGAGTCAACAAAGTGACAGCCATGATCTTTGGCCTCTTTGACAAAAACGTCAATGTTATGCTCGAATTGAAAGTGGACGGTCTGGTAAGGTCGCCCATGAGCCGCCGCGTGGCTCGGTTAAATCTTTTACTGCCTCCCCTGCAGCCATTGATATAAAACCAATCACGATGGCAGTGACTACAGTAGTATCTTTTCAAAACATGGTAGAAGTGCGGCCATACAGCTGGCGGCTTCTCATGGTACTGTGTTTATTTTTCAGTGTCCATGTTTGCCGTTAATGGCAGTGTGACTCTGGTCTTCGGAGCGTTACCAAGATTATTAATAATGCATCAAGAACATGCATCTCTGATAGATGAAGCCGGCGTGGCCGTGTTGTTAAGAGTTGTGTGAGTGCGCACTCACACAACGTTGAATGTCATTGTCCTCATGATCCCGGCGGGCAAACAAATCACGGTGTCATGACGGTTGACTCGGTGACGCGTGCATTGGTGCGGACTCTCAACGTCTAAGCCAGCTAGAGGTAAGCCAGACAGCGGCCCCCACATAGTCGAGGTTGCCTTCCGTTGTCGCCAGCGGGTGACAAAGAAGCATATACTACACTTTCAACAACTTCGAGGGGACGTCCGGGGCCTATGGAGTAGGAAAACTTTCAGTCGGACTCGATCGATCAGGCTACTCTCAGGCTACTCAGCCTTGAAGAAGTCTACAGCACGTTCCTGCTTAACTCCTAACATGTATACCGTAGCTGACAACCTGAATCATAAAAGTGGCTCGCTGGCGTTGCAGCCACGTTTCGAACCCGCGACATTCCGCGAATCAGTGCTGACCGAAGGTTTGCAAGTTCCTGGAACCCTAACTTTCTGAACCCTAAAGGTTTTCAAGTCAAGCTCTGCAAAAGGCTCAGCTCTTGCATGCACATGAACAAATGAAGTCGAATGCTCAAAATGGGACATGATCATCCTGGATCAGCTAGAAGCTGCTCAGCAGACTTGCTGGCTAGCCTAGAGCTGACAGCCGTCTTGCAGCGTCTCTATGTTTACTGAGCGGGTGGAGGATCATGACCTGAGCTAGGAAGGGTGCATTAGTCCGCTTGTGCGATGAAAGAACGTGTCAGTCTGACATCCTGAGCCTTTAAGCTCCAGCCAGCTCAGATTGGCCAGGAACAATATGTCGGCTGTTGTTGGTGCTTTGGCACCCGCCGGTGGTGCGAAAGCTGGTTCTTTGGGTCCGGGGCAAACGGCGGACAATCTCCAAGCTACAGCAGAAACGTATCTGGTGAGCTGCGAACTCAATAACCTTCTGATGTAGAATCTCCAGGAACATTGATGAGGGATTCTTTTCAAGTGGTCAAATTGGTGCCTGTGCATTTTGGAATGATGCGACTCAACTTACAAGGTTCAAGATAAAGAGTTGTATGTTGCCTCCTTTTGAGCCCAAGGATTGGATTGAGCTCACAATCATCCAGGTCGTGGACCTGCTCCGTTTTTCGGCGCCGTTGAGGTTCCAGTGCATCTTTCACCTCCAATCTGAACCATGGACCCAATGCGAGCTGAAGCTGCTTCAGATGTTTGACCTAAGTAGCAAACCCCTTTCATCACCACTCAAGGTGGCCAGGTCAGTCTGTGCATGCCAAACTAGCGACACAATTGTCTGGTCCATGCTGGGTTCATCAGGTAACCTCAAACGAGTTTACTATCATCCAAACTTGAGCGACAGGCCCATATTGTTGTGGAGAGCCTGTGATCTGCTGACACTATCAGAGCGGCAAGCTCTCCGATCCTCGTTCCTTCCACAGAGACTGCTTCATAAACATATTAACCTCGTGAAGTGTGCTCAGGCACACATACTGTTGTGACATGTTCTATTTAAAAAACATCTATTGACCGATTTTGTCCGCCCAGGCAAAGTTCCTATAGGAGAAGGGAGACCTAGGTCGAAGCCAACTCGCAGACTGACCCCTCGTTTTGCAAACCATTTCTGGTGACATTAGTACTTGAGCTGCCTCTTCCTTCACAAAGAACTTGCATTCGTCGCTTGTGCCCAGACCGAGTACCGCGTCAACGACTTGCTGACGTGGCTGCTGCGGGAGCTGCTCGTTCACCAGCCTGCAGAGCCCATCCAGTTCATGGTGGACTTGATGACTTTCCCCGGGGATCCCTCCAGAGCCACCCAGGTCGGCTGACTCCAAAAACCTCCAATCTCCTAACTTGTGGTCGTGATTGGATGGAACAGATCACGCCCGTTTGGCCGGTGTGCTGACTCGAGCGTGTCCATTTCCCTACTTTAGAAAGCCATGATTGTCGTTGACAATGCACATGGACTGTTCTCGATGTTGAGTTTGCGCAACGTGGCTTTGATGCCTGGCCAGCAACTTTCGAGGCTGATACAGTCCGTTCGAGGTACTCTCCTTGAAGAAACTTCGCAGAGCCGTTGATTCGAAGACTTGCTTGAAATGCAATCGTTTTAAGCTAGAATTGACGTTCATATGGCTTTAGGTGTCAGCACAGCTCGTGCAGGTAGAGCAACATCTCAATCCACCCGCCTTCCTCTATTGTGAGCTCAAAACTTATGTCTGATACAAAAGAGGTCCGAATAGTCAGCGCCCTTTCAACTTTCCGTTCTCGCATCTAATCTTATACTAGGGTACAATCAAGACAGAAATGGAGACTTGCTACGCTGCAAAGATCGCTCTGTTTCGCGACTGACAGCCCATGCTGATGTGCATCTGTCGTTTTATTGCAATCACAATCTCGATCTATGCAACTCGACGCCCTAAAAGTCTCTGCGCCGACTTTCGGGTGCCACTCGTAATTGGCCTGGGTCAAACTTGACCGTCGAACGTCAGGCCAGACAGTCGGAGCCCTGCTGTCGTGCTGCCGTGGCGCTGACGTGGCGTGGACGTGTGCTCTGCAGGACGGCCGCGGGCTAAGCGAGTACCGGAAGTCGAAGCTGCTGGCGCTCTTTCATCAGATGGACAAGGTGGGGGGCGGCATGCGCAGATGGTCAGACTATCAGATTTCCAGGAGTACTCTGACGTCATCGGGGTTCTACATGATCTGGCTTCAGCTCTAGCAATCTCGAGCGACGCAGAAAAATCAAGAGCAACTGCAGGACTCCTTATCGTAGCCGCACCCGTATCACATCCCTCTCTGGTTGTTGTGCTGAGTTGATCAGTTGGTTGGACATTGAAGTGACATCTGAGGGAAGTTTCGGTCATTCAATAACGCGGAAAGGCGTACTGCGAATGGAGAACTGAAAGCTCAAAACTTGTTTCTTAAAACGGCCCCCAAATGTTCGATCTGTGGGACCACTTTCTCCTGCCATGTTCCACTAACTGCCCGTCTGTTCTGGCGAATTGAACGGCATTCGAGCCTGCGTCGAGGTTCTTCGTGTCTCCAAAAACCTTCACGAAGCGCCCGACCAAAGTGTTGGAACACAACGAGCTGTCAGGCATCTTCGCTATGGGCGTTGCTCGCTTGAGTGGGCGTAGAGTTCTTCCTTTCAGAAACAATATAAGGAAGACTGGCGCGTCATCAACGCTTCGCTAGCTGACACCGTTGACGGCTTCCTGAGAATACCGCTTCCCACGAGGATTCGATTCGGTTCAAGTCGAGCTGAATATTTCTTGCGCAGGACGATTCCGGCTCCGTCGAGTTCAAGGAGATCTACGCGCACTCGTCCAAGTACGGCGGAATGGCCCTCACCCCGGAAGAGCTGAAGGCGGTCTTCCAAGACTTCGACACGAGCGGGGATAGCAAAGTGACGGTCGACGAGTTCCTCACGTTCTTCAGCCGGACGCTTGTGCAGTGCAGCAACGAAGAGTTCGATGAGATGATGAAGGAAATGCTCGACTAGTAAGCTAGTTGACGGGTACCTTAAAGATATTCGCGGACAGTGCGTTCACGATCGTGGGTCAAGCAAACACGATCGAGGTGGTTCAAGCACATGTCGTTTCCCCACTCCAATGCTCGTGCGGGTAATCTTTGGACAGAGATTTGTTTACGTGTTGGGCCGCGGTTCGCAACAAGCCCGTTGCGGGCCAGGCCGGGCGCTTGCTTGTAGAAGTTTGGGCTCTGCGCAAATCAAATTGAGACCTGAGTACGTGACAAACGATCGCGAGACTGTTACGACAGAACTTAGGACCTTTCGACATCATATACATATTATGGCGGCGGTCATCGATTTTGTTACCAGTCTGCCACTGACATGAGAGCTTAATTGCAAGGCGTCAACTTGTTCAACTGGTGGTTGGGGTTTGATTGCTGATGCAATGCGCTGGCCTGCGAGTACGCTTCAGACGGCCCGCCGGGCAGCTGATTTATCGATCGATTCCTGATCATCTCACATGCTTTTGTAGTCTTCTAAGTTCGATCAAATGTGCGCACACGATCGTTGCCCACACTTAAGCCTGTGCACGCAAATCTGGCATGTAGCTTGTCGTCATGCCGCTGAGTACATGATCAGGCATTATCGGTGTCATGCCCTGAGGCACGAGTTGCACAACCATGAGTCTCGTACGGTACAGGCCAAAATGAAATCGTAAGTTCATGTGGTACGTATATTTGTCCTGCATTGTCGCAAAGCGCTGGCACGCCAAGATCGTGACGTCCATAGCATACTTACGTGACCGTACCGAACTTGAAGGTTGGCTGATACTCGACAAGTAATTATTCGAAGATAACCAACATTGACAGGAGTCTTGCTTATCTACAACTATCCGCTGAGCAATGATGCGCGTGCTGTGCATAACTACTTGTGCACTTGCCTAAGCTTTATGGTACATGTCTCCGTGATTCTTGCAGAAGCGGATGCGTGCAGGATTGTTCTGATCAAGATCCTATCTTACAGTCCATACGAGCTCACCAGCCTGCGCTTTTGGTTGTTTCGCTCCTGCATCACCTGACGAATGAGCCCATCGCTCATGCCTCTACACCCCCTTACGTCCAAATAATACAACTCCCGGCGAGCAATGGCCGTAAGCGAAGCGTCGCTCAGCTTCGTACAGCCCCGCACGCTGATCCTGCTCAGCTTCGGACACCCCCCCAAAATCGCAGAGACTGCTTGGTCCGTAATCCGGAAGCACCCACCTACGTTAATGTCCGTCAGCTGCGCCGCGTGCGCAGCCAAAGTCACGATCCCCCTATCAGTAACACTGTCGACGTTGCTCAGATTGAACACGCTCAACCGGGGGCAATTGACGGCGATTGCCGTCACGGAAGCGTCCGTCAGCAGCTTACACGCGCCCAACCCGAGGTTCTCCAGGTTGACACAGCTCCGCGCGAGTTCGCAAACTCCGCGATCGGTGATCTCCCGGCACCCCCCCACTTCGAGCGCAACCAGCGCCTTGCACTTCGCCGCAAGAATCTCGAGCCCGTCATCCCGCACGCGCTGACACCCCGACACGTCGAGGCTCCGCAACCCGCGGCAGTTCATCGCAACCGACGCGAGGGCCCAGTTGGAAAACTGGAAGTTCCCGGCGACGCTCAGCCTCTGCAGGCCCTGGCAGAAGGTCGCCACCTGTATTACCCCGACCTCCGTCACCTTCAGACAGCCGCTGATGTCAAGTTCCGTCAGCCGGGGGCAGGCCCGCGCGAGCGCGGCGAGAGAGTCGTTGGTGACCGCGCGAAAGCTCCGGGGCACGAGAAGGGTTCGGAGGTTCGGGCAACCAGCCGCGAGGAGGAGGAGCGTGTCGGTGGTTGGGACGGTCGCGCGGAAGGACTGCATTTGGCCCGCGCTCTTCTCGACGAGCTTCTTGACGAGGCCCTGGATCTGGCGCGGGCCGGCCTCCCAAAAGATCTCCCTGTTACAGCAAAATAGGTTAGCCGTTAACCATGGTCATTCAAGCGGTTCGAGCGCGCGAGAACGAGCTGAACCTACTTAGACGGTTTAGCAGCAGATCTAGACCGAAGTGAAGGGACTAACGCTTGAAGAGCGTGGCGAGGTCCAATTCTTTGTTAGTGATGGAGGGTCACGGAACAAGCTACCTTAAGGGTTTTGCCGTCAAGACAGAGCATTACGACTATCGGAAATGTCCAATCCTGGTGGTGTCCTCTTTTGAAGACCGGCTGACAGGACCAAGCTTTGGGAGACCCGATTTGGGCCGCCTGGTCTGCAACAAAACACGAGACAAGCCTTGCATTTCAGAACGGGAAGCACACTTGCGCCAATGGAAAGTCTGTCTTGAATGAGTCGAAAAATCTGGTGATCACATCTCGTCGAAGCCTCTCCACTAACGCCTGAAGAGATCTATCCTCCCACTTCAACGCCGAGCAGGAAACAGAAGCTTAACCAGGAACAAGAGGAGCTGCCAAAAACTCTTCACAACATGACGACGTATGTTCCAAGAATGAATGCAGAGACCATCCTTCTTCAAAGCGCGCCAGGTGCTGCCATAACAACCCGCGTCTTACAAGCCCCTCTGCTGAAAGTCTGCACAAGCAAAGTTTCCGCTGAAGAAGCGTCTTTCAAGTAGGTAAGCGCACCTAGCTTCAGTACAGAGTGTTAGAACTCCTGAAAGTCTAGCACGCTTTCCGGAACAGACAAGATGATAGAGCCAGAGTCCCTCTCAACTTCTGAATAGTCAACGTGCATAGCAATGAGAACTCAACTTTTGTGGTCCCACAAAAAACAACCTCCGATATCCTCTTTCAGAATGGCAACTTCCAGCCGACATTGAGGACAGACAGTAAGCCCCTACACATACTTTCCACGGCGAGAAGAGGCCATGCGTGTTTCAAAAGATCCCGCCTGCTCACCTGGCCGCCTCCAATATTCCCTCCCGGAAGCGCACCTCGCCCACCTCCACATGGCTCCAGCACGCGGGGTCAAACGCGGCGTCCCGCCACTCCTTGCACACCAACGGCACCACCGCCAGACGGAAGTCCACTGGCAAAAGCTCCAGCACGTGCAGGAGCGCTTCATAGCGTCTGGAGTCACTCAAGACTGATTGCACTTCTCCCAGCGTTTCGCGGGGATTGTTGGACGGCGGAGGTTGTTCCAAGGTTTGAGAGGGTGGGGGTAGAATCCTGCTTCTGCTGTGCGAGGGCGCGGAATCTGCTGGCTTTGATTCTAAGCAGTATGCCTGCAGCTCGTCCTGACTGCCGTCGCTGCCTTCGTTTTCTTCGATGGGTGGGTATGGACTTTTGGATAGGCGCAGGAGAGCCAGGGGGATCGACATCCGGGACGACGTGTTTTGGAAGATGAGCGTGTTCGGCCCGTTCTGTGGCAGAGGCTCTCGGTGCTCTCCCTGAGACTGCTCTCCCCCCGGAGCTGTTGGTGGCGTCTCCATTCTGTTGTGGATACCTTGTCAATCTCCAGATGTCCCCAGATTCTAAGAATGGAGTTACACAGGCCTACCACCGACTCACTGGTCTTGCTTTACAAGCGTGTACACTTTGTGAAGACGAACCTCGAAAGCTGAAACAACGTCCAGCAGATTCTTTCCCAGGATCTGCAGCGGGGAGTGGTGTAAAGTTCAGGGGCCTTTTCAGGCGATTGCGATGTTGATTTGGGGGTCCGCTGTTGAGGAACAGGAATGCTGACAAGGTTTTTGCAAGAAGGGGCAGAATTTAAACAGTGGTGGCAACATGCTGGCTCTTAAGGATAGCATCATCAAGCAAACTCACCAGTTCTGCACAAATCCAAGCAATCTGGCCTTCTTCCATTGTAACACATATCCAAGCTGTCCCATTGCTCTTTGAAGGAAAGATAGAGTCAACAAGCCTAATGGTAGCTTGGGACCGGTGTCTTCATAAAGAAGAAGAAACATCCACAAAAGTGACTAGATAGCTCACGTGGTCAGCAAAGCTTGCCCAGGTGCTAACCGAGCACCAAGAAGCATCTCCTGCAACTTTCTCCTTCCAAAGTGGAGCTGCAGCAATCGAAGGTAAGGGCGAACCGGCTCCTCAACTGCATCATTCAAATATCCAAGGGACCTGAAAAGCCATGTGAGCTCTCCCTTGAAGTTGAAGTTGCAATGGCATCTGCCCTGCTCGCCAACAAGCTCGTAAAAGGAGCTCTTGAAGGTAGTACCAACAATATTAATAGTAATACTTTTGAGATTAGGGGTAATTAGCCTTGAGTTACGCCCTAATATCCTAGTCGAATCGTGTGCAATGTTGCATTGGCCGTCGACCGTACGATCGTAAGTTGCTGCGTAAGTAAATGGACTCGAAAGTAGGGCCGTCGATTTGCAAGTTTCCGGAGTACCGCAGCCGGAGTACCGTATCCGGAGTACCGTATCCGGAGTACCGTAGCTGAGAAGACTTCGATTCTCACCATGGACTAGTTACTCACTTCTAGTACCTAGTTGTGCTTCCTCTTGAAAGGCCCTCAAGGCGCGTTTATTTCAACAGGTTATGGGCCCACGACGCTAGAGAGTGAGGGAGAGAGTAGCAAGCCATTGCTAGCAAAGACAATTCTAGGTTGGTGAAAGGTATTCCAGTGGGGGCTAAGTAGGAGTGCTTTGAGCACTTTCCCTGTGACGCCTGTGAAAATACCCACAAACCTTTCTCGGCACAAAGGAGTGCCCAGCCCAAGAAGCGTTGTTTGACTAGCTGTAAAGATGGCTGAAGGACTCAAGGTATCCATTGAGAAGTTGGATGTGGATAACTATACGACGTGGTCGCAGCAGATGAAGTTTCTGCTGGTCCACAAGAAGCTCTGGAAGGGAGTGGCCGATCCCGCAGGGGATGCGGATAGAACCGAGGAGGCAAAGGCTGTGATAGGTCTAAACGTGCGGTCCCAGCACCTAGGGACGGTAACCGCTGCGGCGAACGCTAAGGTTGCGTGGGATGCATTGGAGGCGATCTACAAAGGCAAGAGTGCCACTCGGAAGTTGCAACTCCGGCAAAAGCTAATTACTCTCAAGCAAGGGTCCGGTGAGTCCGTGGCCGCCTACGTTGACAGGGCTAGAGACCTTGAGAGGGAATTGGTGAGCGCGGGGTCGGATGTGAAGCCGGATGATCTTGCCATGTCCGTGTTGAGCGGGTTGTCTAAGGAGTACGGGACTGTGGTAACGGTCTTGATGTACTCGGATAAGGTCAGCTCGGTGGACATTATGCTTCCAATGCTGCAGCAGCATGAGCATGAGCATGAGCATGAGCATGAGCATGAGCATGAGCATGAGCATGAGCATGAGCATGAGCATGAGCATGAGCATGAGCAAGAAGAACTCCGTTGAGTCGGAGGAGGGCAGCGGAGCCGGAGCCGGGGTGGCATATGCCGCTAGAGCCGGTAACGGAGGGGGCAATGGCAAGGGGAGAAAGGCTTCGATGGCTTGCCACAAGTGTGGTGAGTTGGGGCACTTCGAGCGGGAGTGCAAGAAGGGGGCTCAAAGGGCCTCAAGGGTCAAAGGAGTCCGGAAAGCCAAAGTTCCGGAAAGGCCGCGAGTGCTACGGTTGCGGAAGCACCAACCACATCCTCAAGGATTGCCCCAAGGGAGGGGGATCGGGGTCCAACCGCGGGGCCGCCTTCATGGCGGGAGACGGAGTAGGGGCCGGGACGGGGAAGTGGGTTCTAGACTCGGGGGCCACCCAACACATGAGCGGGGACAAGGGGAAGTTCACAACCCTCAAGATGCTAGAAACCGGGTCGCGAAGAATTCGGATAGCAAACGGTACGTATGTGGACGTAGCCGGAGAGGGGACGGTCGAGTTGCGGTGCCTAACGCCAACGGGCGTGAGGGTCAACACTCTTCTTGATGTGTTGTATGTCCTCGGCGTGGTTGAGAACCTCTTCTCGGTGACGAGGGCTACCGACGCCGGCGTGGTGCTTGGGTTCAAGCGGGGCGTGTGCCAAGGCTTCCTGAACGGTGAGATCATCTTCCGTGCGGAGCAAGGGATGGGCTTGTTTGAGGTGTGTGAAGCGGAGCCCGATGTGGACGCGTGCATGCTTGTGAGGCAAGCCAAGACCGCGGAGTTGTGGCACCGGCGGCTTGGGCACGCCGGGTGTGAGAGTTTGGCTAAGATGGTCGAGGGAGACCTAGTCCGGGGTGTGGGGGTGAAAGCCGAGGCGTTTCGGGAGAAGAAACCCTTGGTGTGCGAACCTTGCATCATGGGTG